AACTCCCTTCTTAGTTTCTAAAGTTTTCTTTTTGTAACACCATGTATATTAGTTTTCCTAACACCACGTACAAAATCACCGGTATTTGTGAGTTTTGAGTGTTCTTTGTTTCAACTAGAGATTTTCTTTCTGAAACACCCTGTATATTTGTTTTTTCTTTGTGTCCGTCAAAATTTAACTTTTATTTTTAGGGTTTTCCTCATGGCCCTTTGAATTTTCTTTTTGTAACACCCTGTATATTAGTTTCCCTAATCGTCGAGTGAAAATGAGCGACGTTTGTCGTGTTTAGAGTTTTTTGTTTGCACTTTAAATTTTCCTTTTGCAACACCCTGTATATTCGTTTCCATTTTCAATCACGTAGAAAATTGACAATTTGTTAATTCCTTTATCCCGGTAGAACTTTACTAAGTGGTACTTTCTAATAAGTGCGCGGCTAAGCAGGCCGTCAGTCCTGTTTCAATATGGCGACATGTATTTTGTTGACTTGTAAAATCTAAACTTGTATTTTATTATTAATAAAGAAATGTTAAGAAATATTATGTCTTATGGTCTGAATGTCCCCCTTCTATCATTTCAGGTACAGGTCACTAAGAGAGTTCCCTCTCTCAGGGGATGATCCCCACTATAAAAATTGTTAAGGTATCCTGTATGATTTGTGTACTCCATCTTTCATTTCAGCCACAGGTCAGAACTTGTAAGAATATTTTTAAGTGTCCCCTCTCTTGAGATGACTTAAAACTTAGAAATATTTTTACAAGTCCTTAAAAGGATGTCCTTATAAGGAGTTCCCTCTCTCTGGGGATGATCCCCCACCATAAAAATTGTTGATATGCCTGATAATTTCGGGGATGAAGCGCAGAGACATCGTAGCTGTAGGATGGGCCGGGAGCAATGGAGGCATCGAAGCAGTGGGCGATCGACCAGAGCGCCTCCGGCGCCGGAGGCGCTCTGGGAGATCGACCGTAGACTGCCTTATAACGACACGTGCCAAAAAATTTAAAAATCTGATCCACTCCTGTCGCTCTTTCTTCTATCACCTCCTCCTCTTCTCTAACCCTGTGTTCTCTTCCTTCTGTCTTCTACTCTGCTCTGCTATTCCTTCTTCTACTTCTCCTATTTCTCTGTTTTCTCGACTTACTTTCTTATTTCTCTTATTGCCTTCACTTGTATTGCAACTTCTCTATATTTCGTTGCAATTCATATATGCAACCCAAATTACACCTGTTATTTTTATATTTGAGAAAAATGCCTTCTATTACTGGGGAACGAACCATTGATCTAAGGTATAGCAGCATGTGCTGCACACCTGAGAGCCACGCGGCTTTCTTATCAAATACTATTCTTTTCTTCTATTTATGTTTTCAAATCTTATGATAAAATAAAACAACAACATACATATACTATACCGCACTATACTATGCCGTACTATGGTATACTCTTAGAGTTGAACATGACTTAATGCTAATCCTGAAAACGACTAAGTAGGGACACATCTAAACAAGAATGTGAAATTAAATTATCCTTTATTGACTGAATCATTTACAATTATTATAAAGCAATAATATGGTACCTGTAAGATTTGAAAAGTTACATAAAAGTTAAGTTTTACTTGATGTTACTTACTCCTTTGTTCTTCTATCCATAAAGAACTAAAGCGCAGAAACACGTTTCCGCAAATTGCAAGTTGAATTGATGATACGCACTTCTTTACTATTCCACGCGGATATCACAATTGGAAAACTTGTACTCACATCAAACACATAGCCACCGGCGGAACATATCCGACGGACGCCACGCACACACCGCAAAGGATTACTCAAATCACTCGTTGTGAGCTTCACTGGGTTGTTACTACTAAATCTCTCTGTTGGTCAACCGATTCTAGCACTACTACAAAATTAACATATTAAGAAACGCGTAAAATCGTCACCATGTTGATTAATGAATAAAACACGTGCGCACGACGAGGCAGCGCTCAACTGACTAAGTCGGACTAAGCGGGTAAGAGAATTGATGACCAACCCGCAATTGGAGGGGCATTCTTCTACCTACGCACGATAAAAATGCTATTACAAATATATTGCAAGTTATAAAATAAAGTTATCAGTTTACAAACAACATTATTTGGAAGAAAGGATTTTAGTTAACGTACTGTGGAAAAATACAACATTTGTGGATTCCGCTAGTATTAAACACAAATAATGTATATAACAATGGTATACAATTTGAATTCTTATGAAAGAATGGTGGTTCTAGGACATCGCGTTCGCCCGCTAGACACCTAAAGCAACCGAAAATTAAAGCAATCAAAAATTGAAGTTTAGTTATTTTTCGTTTTGTTAAACTTAAAAGTTATGTATAAAAATGACGTGCGCACCGCAACTTTGTGCACCAAAAACTAAACAAAAATGAAGTAAGAATTCAAACCAACTCGATGGAAGCGCCATCTGGCCGTGGCGCAACAAATCAAAATAAATAGCTGACACGAGCGCCATCTGGGTGTGACGGAACTAATATATTATATATCCTGATAGTGGCGCCATCTAGTTTTGGGACCGCAAACTTGAAATAAAATACTACGAAATCTATAATGCGTTTGCTAATATTTAAAATAACTGATTTAATTTACATTTCAATGTATGAAACATGAAAATTATTTACAAAAATGAAAAACAATTTCAATACTTACAATATTATATTAAGACCGTTGTCTTAAACATTTCGTCCGCCTGCTAGACACCTAAAACAACCGAAAATTAGCATATCGAAGCACAAAAATGACATTTTCACAAGTTTCCTGTGTGCTAATCACACAAATTATTTACGAAAATGATAAACAAATTCAATACTTACAATCTGATGAAAAAATCGTTGTCCTCTAACAATTTGTTCGCCTGCTAGACACCTAAAACAACCAAAAATTAGCACATCGAAGCACAAAAATGACACTTTTGCATGTTTTCCGTGCGCTAATCACACAAATTATTTATGAAAATGATAAACAAACTCAATATAATAGGACCGTCGCCCGCTAGACACCTAAAACAACCGAAAATTAACACATCAAAGCATAAAAATAACATTTTCACAGGTTTACTGTTAGACTAGGGGCCCATGTCCAAAAATTTATGGGTCATATGAACCATCAGGTGACCTATTTAGGACGATATAAGATCATAAAATAATAAGATTTAACACTATGCCGTCACTTGTAAGCTGTCCAACTGAGTGCTGGTGAGAATTTGAAAGTACAGGCAGAGTGAGTACATTTCGGTCATATATTTTTGTACGGCATTTTTACCATCGATAGATCTTTAAAAAAATAATAAGAAAGCGCGCAGTGCCGTAAAAAAATAGTGCGCCACAAAGTCGGTAAATTTTTTTGATTTTCGAAAATTTCCAGGGTAAATTTGGTCATTCGATTTTGTACGGCATCAGTTTCGTACTGTTTCAATACAGCTTCTAATCCATTATTCCGCAACGCCGTACAAAAAATCATGCGACAAGGGGAAAAATTGAGGGTTGCAACCCCCTCTCTTTCCGTGGTCCAGGGGGTGATTTGAAAAAGTACGGCATCGGTTCCAAAACATTCTCTAGCACTCAAAAGTACTATTAAAAATAATGCCGTCAAAAAATTATTGTTCATTTGAATGTATATTAATAATTATCTTAATTTCATGGTATACTTGATGTATAAAGCTGTAAAACCATTTGACCCTGTACGGGAACTTTTTTTTTAACATGATATTGTGAAATACAATGGTTATATAGTATTGCCGTTCAAAAGAAACTGTTCAAAAAAAAATTACAGAGAAATACAAAAACTGAAATTTTTTTAAATTATTGCAAAAGTTTAAATATTCATAGATTAATGAAAGATAGCAATTTTCTACATTTTTCCCTTGTTTTAAATAGTATTAAGGTAATTAAATTAGGAAAAAATAATGCCGTACATTTTAATGCAGACCATATCTTTTAGGCTGATGAAAATGACGCTACCATTTTAAGGGTACTTTATGGCCATCTGATACTGTACGGCATTAACATATTTTTGAAGAGAACAATTGATAATATGATAAAATCATTATGACGTCTAACTGAAGTGAAACGGTGTGTATATAATATCCAAGAATTGAAACTGTCAATCCCAGTATCAACAGTTTTGTATACTTTTTGGTTTAGTATATGTATTTTATTTTTATTTTATAGTATTTTATCAATATGAACTTTCAGATTTGTACGGCATTAACTTTTTATAAATTATTGCATTAAGTGACAATAAACTATCTAAATGCCGTATAAAAAAATATCGTCATGGATTTCACCTTACATTTCGTTATATGGATTTTTCTTACATTTCGTTATATGAATTTTTCCTTGAATTTTTTTTCCCTACAAACCTTTGGACCAACGAAAATGTACGGCATGTAAAAAAATATTATCTATGCATAAAATACTTTCGAAATAAATTAATTTTGGGTTGTTTCAAATCACCCCCTGGACCACGGAAAGAGAGGGGGTTGCAACCCTCAATTTTTCCCCTTGTCGCATGATTTTTTGTACGGCGTTGCGGAATAATGGATTAGAAGCTGTATTGAAACAGTACGAAACTGATGCCGTACAAAATCGAATGACCAAATTTACCCTGGAAATTTTCGAAAATCAAAAAAATTTACCGACTTTGTGGCGCACTATTTTTTTACGGCACTGCGCGCTTTTTTATTATTTTTTAAAGATCTATCGATGGTAAAAATGCCGTACAAAAATATATGACCGAAATGTACTCACTCTGCCTGTACTTTCAAATTCTCACCAGCACTCAGTTGGACAGCTTACAAGTGACGGCATAGTGTTAAATCTTATTATTTTATGATCTTATATCGTCCTAAATAGGTCACCTGATGGTTCATATGACCCATAAATTTTTTGGACATGGGCCCCTAGTCTATGTGTGCTAATCACACATATTATTTTGAAAATGATAAACATTTTCAATACTTACAATCTGATGGAAGAATCGTTGTTCTAGGACATTCCGTTCGCCCGCTAGACACCTAAAACAACCGAAAAGTAGCAAATCGAAGCACAAAATGACAACCGAAAATTAACAAATCGAAGCATAAAAATGACATTTTCACAGTTTTCCTGTGTGCTAATCACACAAATTATTTATGAAAATGATAAACATTTTTAATACTTACAATCTGATGAAAGAATCGTTGTCCTAGGAGATTCCGTTCGCCCGCTAGACACCTAAAACAACCGAAAATTAGCATATCGAAGCACAAAAATGACATTTTCACAGGTTTCCTGTGTGCTAATCACACAAATTATTTATGAAAATGATAAACAATTTTAATACTTACAATCTGATGAAAGAATCGTTGTCCTAGGAGATTCCGTTCGCCCGCTAGACACCTAAAACAACCGAAAATTAGCAAATCGAAGCACAAAAATGACATTTTTACAGGTTTCCTGTGTGCTAATCACACAAATTATTTATGAAAATGATAAACAATTTCAATACTTACAATCTGATGGAAGAGTCGTTGTCCTAAGACATTCCGTTCGCCCGCTAGACACCTAAAACACCGAAAAGTAGCAAATCGAAGCACAAAAATGACATTTTCACAGGTTTCCTGTGTGCTAATCACACAAATTATTTATGAAAATTATAAACAAATTCAATACTTACAATTTGATGAAAGAATCGTTGTCCTAGGACATTCCGTTAGCCCGCTAGACACCTAAAACCACCGAAAATTAGCATATTGAAGCACAAAAATGACATTTTCACAGGTTTCCTGTGGGCTAATCACAAAAATTATTATTGAAAATGATAAATAAATTCAATACTTACAATCTGATGAAAGAATCGTTGTCCTGTGACAATTTGTTCGCCTGCTAGACACCTAAAACAACCGAAAATTAGCATATCGAAACACAAAAATGTCATTTTCACAGGTTTCCTGTGTGCTAATCACACAAATTATTTATGAGAATTATAAACAATTTTAATACTTACAATCTGATGAAAGAATCGTTGTCCTAGGAGATTCTGTTCGCCCGCTAGACACCTAAAACACCGAAAAGTAGCAAATCGAAGCACAAAAATGACATTTTCACAGGTTTCCTGTGTGCTAATCACACAAACTATTTATGAAAATTATAAACAAATTCAATACTTACAATTTGATGAAAGAATCGTTGTCCTGTGACAATTTGTTCGCCTGCTAGACACCTAAAACAACCGAAAATTAGCATATCGAAGCTCAAAAATTACATTTTTGCAGGTTTCGCGTGTGCTAAGTACACAAATTATTTATGAAAATGACAAGCAAATTAAATACTTACAATCTGCTGAAAGAATTGTTGTCCTGGGACAATTTGTTCGTCTGCTAGACACCTAAAACAACCGAAAATTAGCATATCGAAGCTCAAAAATGAAATTTTTGCAGGTTTCCCGTGTGCTAATCAAACAAATTATAATCAACTGACTAAGTCATCATATTATAAAAAATTTAACAACAGACTATTCGAATGCGTTCCTCCAGACGCCTTCGAGAGCGTTAACAGTTATAAAGAGTAATTCTACTTAGATAACATAAAGGACTCAAAGAAAAAGAAAATGTGCAAAATCTATACCAAAAAAATCCCAACAATTTTATCCTTCAAGTAAAAAAATGCACCATTCACATGCAGCCATGACAATTTAGATATCAAATATATTTACCTTTAATTCGATGTCTGGAAATTCTGGCTGGTTTCTGTTAGAGCAATGTCCCCAATGTTGTGTGCCTTGCCAGAGATGAAGAAGTCCTAAGTGCCACTAAAAAAAACACATATTAGAAGTTATGAAACATATCTAAAATTCTACACTAAAACAACCCAATGAACAACAGCACACTCAAATGTTTGTTCTATATGACTTTGGTACCTGCATAAGATTGAATGGCGAGTGACGAGATAAACATTCGCATATATAAACAAAATGTACCTTGCATCGGTGGTTAAAACACAAACAGCACGATGCACAACTCGCTACATACAATTAACTAAACAAAAATATTGCCTGAACAATTAAGTAATAATAAAAACATTGTATACTATTAGCAAAACCAATTTGAAGTAAATATATGCCTAACAATAGATATGTAATTTATTAAATACCTTTAGATTCAAGTCCAATCCTCACATGAACGGAACGAAATATACTCACGTACATGAGAAAGAATAATTAGAGTTCTGAGAACCATCACAATATTTTGTATAATTTAATGTATTTTACGGAGCAAATTCTGCACAAACGTGTCGTGCCTCATGGATGTGCGCGGATCAACTAACTCGACTTATCTGTTATCGTGTTAGCGTGTGCCGTGTAGAAGGTGAACGCAATAGAAGGAACCTGTTTGCACACAAATATAGCTAGGCGCATAGTATAGCAATTGAAAACAATTCTAACAAATACTATATACAACATAAAAAAACGCTTCACTTATAGTAAAATATTTACATTTTCTTGAAAAACTACAGATTTTATATGTTACGGCGTGAGACCAGAAGTGCACATTCTTAAAACATGCGTGTCCTGACCCTGATGATGACCCCTGATAGTGCATGCGGTGATTGGTTTGCCCTTTTCCCCCACCACTCTTTGCGGGTCGCTCGCAGGTATAAAAGGGCTGCTCCCGGTGACCACAAGACTCAGTCGTGCCTAAGTCGTCCAGCAGTCGTAGGTTCCTAGGTTTCTTTCTCCCCTTTTCTGTTCGTTGGTGCGAGCCAAACACATAGTATATCTGCCCTTTCTTCTTCGAGTTTCTGATCCGTACCACTCCTGTTTGGTATAAACAAAAGATAACCTAAGCGGTCCAGTAATGTTTATTTAAGACAAGGCTAACGGACAGTCACTTTAATATGCATATAGATTAAGGACTAGTATTTCTAACTATCCAATTGCATTAGTAGTAGACACATGACACATATTACAGAGCCTGTTTAATTGTTTACAGCCCACAGAACAATAATCCGAGAATATCATAATCTAAATACTTTTGTTACCCACAAATATATACGTCATTTTCAATATTTACGTAATAAAGATATATAAAAGCGCTGAGCAATCCATAAATCAAATATTATTCGCTCATTTGCAACAAGGAATTAATGGTGCCATCCTTGTTCCCCTGATTTGCTTCAAACACCGACTTGATAACTTCTTTATCAATAGCTGGGAACATTTCTTCAATCTACAAACAATTAAACACAATGCAGACTCAAAACAATGCTATAAATAATGTATTACCATTTTTAGTTCATTTTCACTTAAAACTGGCACTGGTTGATGAACGGGTCCTGCAGGATATACTGGCATTGGGGTAGCTCCTGCACCAACTGATGGCACCATCATGACTGGTTGCGGATATGCATATGACTGTGCTTGGGGCTGCAAACAAATTAAAATTGAATATACACTTCATTAAATTATATTGATCATACCATGAAACTGAATACTAAATTAATCATCCCTTCAGCATCCTCTCCCTGTTTCCCAGTCAATGGGTACCAGTCTTCATGTGTCTCACCCTTTAGCACTTGTGGAGGAAGTTGAATTTGAGTCCATGCAATGAGCTCATCCATGGTAAAGCTTCTTTCATCATAAATCTCCAATGACACTGTATTTACACCTTGAGGAAGTAAACTGCAAACAAGTTAAATAAATAAATATTCAAACAATATTATGTTAGTTTTATTAATACCATTGCATGATTTTATTCCACCTTGGTGTTTTACCTCCATTCGAATCAGTGTGTGTCTCATGCACAAAGTGCCCAACCCTCAATCTCACATATGGATCCATCCTGGTCATGCCATAGTTTTTGGCCAGTTTTGCTTGAGCAACTGTGATCCCCAGCCTTCCTACAATGTTGGGTGTGAGGGTCTGTGAGCTGACAAACTGTTGTTGCAAAGCAAGTGCAGTTTGTCTATCTGCTGCTTCCTGCTGCTGTTGAATGGATGCAGTAATGCGGAGAAAATCATCTGGCAAGTCGCCCAGAAACACCTAAATATAAATTATCAGCAAACAACATTGCTTTTAAAATGTTTATCTACTTACCCTGTTTCTACATTCTTTTACTTTATCAGTAACTGCTGATGCCATTATTTTATCTACCACTAACATTCACTTGGCTGGTAATATTTCGCAATCAAACGTCGGCTGAAATATATTTCTAACACCGATTTGCGTTTTTCACCTCATCAAGTTGTTATTTACAAATTTTGTAGATAAAGGTGACATTTGCAGGTGGCAACAGATTAGCTATATGTATAGTTAGTTACTCGAAGGTTAAACATGCGCACAGCATAAGTAAATATGAAATTCAAAACTGAAAACAAATTGGCATCTTATTTAACTCTTTAATAATACCAAATGAAAATGATCGGTGTTATTTAGATTTCTATTTTATTTTCCCAATTAAAAAGAGCAAAAATAAATAATTATTTTTAAATGGAAATGTTGCCAAACATTCGAAAATATGTCAAACATATGTCTACGAATGTTTGCATTTAGAACCTAACAAACATCACAACTGTACAGAAAATATACAAAATTTTTTGTTCTTTTGCCCGTTTCAACATAAACCACTCAACTAACACCATAATGAGCGATATTCCATCATTTAAAAACCTGAAGTAAGTCTCTACCCAATAATTTACATCAAAAATATATAACTTTTGGTGTTTTTCAGCGCTCAGAAACATAGGAAGGGAAGTCAGTATCAAAAACAATACAAAACCAAAGCTTCTGGCTCAACTAAGGGTGCTGAACAGGGCAAATCCAAATCAATAGTACCAGCAGCATCAAAACTCCCTTCTAACTGGGAAAAATATGAAAGGAATATTGATGAGACCTTAGAATCTCCACCACAAGTTGTTAGCATGGATATTAACACACTATCATTACTACCTACCTCCAATAGCCAGTTCCAACTTAAACAAGACAAAGTATTTCTGCCCAGACATGACAACAAATTCAACCCTGGAGAGATATTTGAACTGGACATGATTCTGATTAGTTTAAGTTTAGCCACAATTCCTTTCTACAACAGGATGAATCTGGACCCATCATTGTTAACAGTAAGTTAAAACTTATTATTAATATTACAAAAAAAAAACACATCAACATGCATTTAGACTTATCACAATATCCCTATATTTGCCTCAGACAACACACAACTTCATTTTTTTATTAATTCAGATGTTAGACATAAATCTTAAACATTTTTTAAATTCCCGATTAGCAGAAGAACGCCAATCTAGCTGTAAAAGATAATTCATAGAATAAATCATCAAGAAATCAGTTTTCAATGAAAATATTATTACACAAAGTTAGTAAACATGTTTTAATGTATGTACATTATTCGCAGGATGCCGAAATACAAGCCATGAATAGAAAAGCCATCGACGCAAACTCAGTCTACCACAACTACTTGGCAAAGCAAACAGGCTTGGATGATACTGCTTGCTTTAAACCAGGAGCACCTACTGGCGTTGTTTCAAAGGAAGATATAATCAGTAGCTGTGACGAGGTGGAAATTCGTATGGACGAGTTAGATCAGGAGAATACTGTTGCATCGCCACCGGTTTCACCACAGAAGGACTTGGAAGAGAAAGAATTAGAGGATTGGTTGAACAATATGATATAGGATAGTGTTTATACCACTGGACATTGCTGTGTGGGAGTAAATTATTTTTCAAACGAGATCTTAACTTGTTTAGCGCCTTGTTTGTGTGGTGTTAGTTAAACATAATTTAATTATTACCATTTCGCTCGTTTTCCCCAATCCTTGGGCGTCCAGTGCAGACATTTCGGGTCGATTCGTATCAGTCGCGTCTCCATTGCTTTCCGGTGACTTTCTAGAATATTCTTATTGAGCGTTATTATGTACTGACCCTTGTAATAATTTATTAGGTTTAAATTCTGTAGCGTCGATATCACGTCTTCATTCTTTATGCTTGTCAATTCACATATTTCACTGAAATTTATAATTTAATAAGATTAATTCAAGCATATTTTAAAATATTTAAACGTACTTTATAGTAATTTGTGGTTTTTCGTTGTCGCCGACTGGTTTCATCGACACGAGAATCTCAAGAATTGTTTGCGCCCAATAACTTCTATAGGAAAGTAAACCTAAATCTGAGAGCGGTTTCTCGGGTGAGCCTGTTTTTCCTTCAAATTTCGATAATTCATAGCCTAAAATCAAAAATAATTACTTTATAAACTTGTGCCTGTTACAAAAACTTACTAAATTCTATAAGTAATTTTCCATAGCCTTTCCTTTGATATGGCGGCATTGTTAAAATACAAGCAACATTATAATTCTCAGTGGATTCTTTCTCTTTCGAAAAATACCCGACGATGTGAAAACCCCGATTATCGAAAACAGTCATCACATAGAACAAAAACGGATCCGTATCGTAATATAATGTCTTATGGTCAAGAAACAGCTTAGCCAGTAAGCACAAATTCTGCGCATAGGTCTTATTCTTCCTGCCGTCGATCTCAAAGAAAGAAATGCCGTCTTTTCGATAAATTTCATTGCCCGGTGGATGTTTCAGGTTACATTTCGCCATGTGCCGCTCTAAACACTTCCGACTCTTCCGATACTTCAAGCAAAACTCGCAGATGTAGATACAAGGCACCACAACGCACATTTCTTGCGGATACGGCGCAAAATACCACGGTTTAATTCGGTGTCTACCCAGTTCAATCATATCAACGTTTTTCATTCGTGTGATTACATCGTCATGATGCGACACCATCGAACCGGATTGTCGTGGTCCTTGCTGTGGTGGTTGCTGGTTTTGATTCTGATTCTGACTATGCTGACTTGCATTTTGCTGGCTTGAATTCTGCGAGTGTTGGCTGTCGATGCGTGGGACTGAACTGGGCGGTGGTGGCGCATCCTGTGAATCTTCGCTTTCTATAGAGTCGCCTTTGCGTTTGCGATTGATTTGTTTCTGTAATGCGGCGTCTAATAACGCGCTGCCGTTTACGATGTCGCCTAAAACGGGGCTCGACGGACGTGAGACGGATTGTTGGCCACCTGTGCCGCCGGTACCTATTACTTTCTTAGGTGTGGAAACGCCTGTGTTGCTTGGGCAGTCACGCCGCGGAAAATGGACTTTTCTTGTGTCGAGTAAATCTTCAGTTACCCATTCGTCGAGTCTTTTGTTAACTGAAAACATTTTCAAGGTTTATTAATGATTAAGCTAAAAATATGATAAAATTTCACTTACAATCAACATAATGTACATAATAAAGTTTTGTCCCATCAAAATTATCCTTGATGCTTATCAGTTCAGCCAAAGCTACAATTTTAATTCATAAAAATTTGATTTTTAAGAAAAAATCATAAATATTTACGCCAGTCGTTGGTGCCTTTCATATGTACAGGCAGGCGACATCCTTCGACGAGTGAATTCTATATTTTAAGCAAGAAAACATGGATAATAATATTGCTTTTGTGAAATGTTTATGTTTGGAGGTTAAAGTGATAAACGAATGAATAATACAGTTTTGTGACTTACGACCGAATCGCATATTGTCGAATCGTCAATTTCTTCCATTTCCACTTTCATTGGCACGTTTTTTGTTATTCACTGCAGGGTGAGATGAAAGATATTTTCACTTTCTGTGAAAATTTGCGCGAGACAACAACATCAACAACAGCACTGACTGTCTCACAAACAGAATGTGCACTGAATACTGACACACATGCGGTGTGAGCGCCACCTGCCAGTTCAAATACTAACCAAAATGGCTTCGGAATCTCCTGAGATGGAAGGTAAATGAAATTTATTTAACAATTACAACGCAATAACACCGATTGGGTTCGTGATTTCAATCAATTTAGTTTCTATGCACCTTTTAACACTAGAATATGTTTCACTGCTGGTTTATTTATGTTTGCTACATAATATTTAATCAGTTTAACTAGTTTGAGGTTAGTTTCTAGTATATAATTTGTATTTTTTGCAAATGTTTAGCTTCAAATGCTTCAAAATCGTCCCCAGAAGGAAGCGGCGATGAAATGGACACAACTTTAATTAGTATGGAAAATATTGATCGGGAATCTCCGCAATTATGGCCGGAAAAAAGTAAGAAATGATCAAAATCACTATTCTACTAATGTTTTATTGTAAATCAATAGTTTTGATTCAATTGTTATCAAAGTTTAGAACTAGGAGTAACATATTTTGAACATGAGTATAGTTCCAGGTATGAATGAGTTCATGAATGCATACAGTGCAACCAGCAGCAACAAATTGCCTTATTCCAGAGAATTTGATTCAGAAGATACAAATTTACTCAATCGTAAGCACATACAAAATAATGTAATACTCTAAACAAACATTGAATTAATGCTTGTGTATTTAGAATTATCAGCAATACCTGTGGCCAGCCTGATTGCAAAAGTGAAAGAATTGCATGACTTGGCTTATCAACTAGGCATTGAGGAAGCAAAGGAGATGACAAGAGGAAAATGTTTGCAAATCTTTGATAATCCCCGAAAAAATGCTTAACTCCTCATTTTTTATACATTTGAAAAATATCTATGTATTTATAAACTTTAATTATTCTATTTGCTATTAAATATTAAGTCAAATTCATTGATTGTTTGTTGTATTAGTAATTAATTCATCCTTTTGCGTAAATAACTAACACGTAACGTGAAACATGTTCGTTGGATATAAATAAATATACTGCGAAACGTTTCGCAGGAAAAAGGTAAATTGTAAATAAATATAAAGAGGACAAGGAATGTACTTGATTACTCGTATTCGCCTACATTTTCTCGAGTTGTGAATACTCCTACGAGATTATCCATTGCATCACACTGGTGTCCTTGCCGCCAGTCGACACCAGGCGTGAATCTTCATGCAGGAATGCGACGTTTGTGACATGACTGCTGTGGCCACCATAGGAATGATGTAAAGACTAAAAATAATATTTTATTAATATATCTCACACTGATTATGAAATGATTAGTTACTTTTGGTTGAATTGCCGGATATGAATACAATTTCACTCTGCCGTAGTCATCGGCGCTTGCCAGTAAACTTTTATCACAGCTGCGTGCACATGCGTTGATGTCACTGCCGTCGGCGTGCTCCGGCCAAATGCCCAAACTTTGAAACGCCAGCGTACAAGTGTGCGTCGCCCATTCAGTATCTCGCAGTGAACCGCTCTGGACGATTTGGCGGCATGTCGTTGCATTCCCTAAAACAAGTTTCGAAATTAAACATCGTTAACATTGCAATTGCACCAACAACTTCACTTACAGTACAAAATCTCGTAATCCCCCGAGTTGCTACGCAGAGTTTGATTGTCAACCGCCCAATCCAAATGTGTCACAAAACTAGAATGACCCTGGAAAATAATTCGATTTTAATTTTATTTCCAGAAGGTTTTGATGTGAAATAAACCTTAGTTTTCTTTCTGTGGTTAGATCCCTTTTAAAAGCAGCAGTAAACAGTTTTACAGTTTAATAAATGTTATTTATTTAAAATGAGATAAACTTACCATGCATTTACCAATTCGTGAAAACCTGTAGTTTTCCGATACTTGATAAACATAAATATTGTTATCGCGAGATCCAATTGCGAGCATACTTCCTTCCGGCGAGAACTGCATCGTTTGTATAGGCTCGCTGCCATCTTGAAATTTACCAAGGAATTCACGCGTCTGCGTGTCAAACACCAACCATTGTCCTTGTAAACATCCAACTATGACGAGCGCACCATCCGATGAAAATGTAACACACTGCGCTTGTTCCTACAGATAAAACATATTAAATAATTTACATGTTTTAGCCAAAAAGAAGAAGAAAAAACGCACTCCAATATCTTTACTCCAGAGAATACTGTGTGACATAGAATCCCACATCTGTAAGAGTTTATCTTGACCCGCAGTGGCGAATTGTGGCACAGTTGGGTGGGCAGCCAGCGCCCATAGTTCATCGGTGTGACCAAGGACAATCGGTTGGAAACCCATGTCCACTGTGCCAACCAAAATGCAATTCCTTGTTGTACCTAACAGTAGTTGTGAGCCACGTCCTTCTGACAGAAAACGTACCCCACCAAAATGTCCTTCAACCTGTAATAAGAAGATTTTAGTAATTTTAGCATAAAACATTTCAAAGAGCTATACTTGAACTTCCTCACGACTTCTTGATAAATTCGAATCCAACTTAACAACACGAGCATCCTTGCCTCCACCTGTGATCACACTACCATCACGTGTGACACAAATCGTAAACACCCCTCCATTATGCACCCTTTGACAATCCGAAGGATAGTATTGGTCCCACGGCCCCAAATAGCCAGGTTACCATTCGAGTCCCCAGTGATAATGTCCCCCGTTTGTAGGAAACCCACAGAAAGGATGTACTTCGGCTTGTCGCGCGTTTCAAAGATACCCATACGCTTATACAGCATTCCGCCAGCGTCCAACGTCCAGAATGCAACATGCGATTTACCGCAGGTCACAATGCAGTTGCGATCCAACGGGTGGAACTCGGCCGCCAAGATGGTATCAACCGAACACTATAAAAGGAGGTTGGAGTTGAGTTATTGAAAGCAAATCGAAATTCCAAGGTGTAGATTACCTTCGTTTCGGTGATTTTCGTACCATTCTCGCCCTTCTGCCAGTCCCACACGGAGATAACATGATCCGGCGAGTCGTCGACCGCGACAAGGCAGGCACCGCCGTCGGCCTTGCTGAACGAGATGCAGCACACCGAAACGGCGAAGTCGTTCATGCCGACCACCGCCTGCGTTTGCAACGACACCGAGTTCCAGATGCGAACGTGCGGCCGAGCGTCACGCTTATCATGACCAGCACATTGTCCACTCGCCACTAATATTTTATTCGGATGAATGGCCAAACTGCAGGCAGGAAGTTTTCACATGAATGCAAATGCAGGATTTATGCGTGCAGATAAACTTAAGTCATCAAACATTTCAGCTTACCATTTCACATCGTCCGTATGCCCCAGATAATGTCTCTGACATTGCTCCTCGACGTTGTACAACACCACCGCAGCTGCGACAAAGTACACCATCTCACTTGTGGGCAGAATATACAGATTTGATCGGCAATCACGACCCCGATATCCGTACACCCAATCGAGTTTCAGTTTCTGCTGCGGCGCAACGTTGACTTTGGTTAATTCGTAGCTGTCGGACATGGAACTTGGCACATGCATAATCACCGGACGTCCACGCAGGTACATCTTGACCGTTTGGTCGTCCATATTGTAAAGGGTTTCTTTTGTTCTAAAAACAACGCAAATGATATTAAAAAACAATTAAACTTGTTACATCACAGTGTAATGTGTTAATGTGTTGTTAAAAATAAAACGTAAACATGCTACTTGAAGTTAACAACGTTAAACAGTGTGAGAGTAAGTGTAAAGTCACCTGTTGGCCATTTTGTTGACTTGTTGACGTGTATTGCGTATTTTTTGTGATTGGATGATTGTGTTTGCCTAAAGTATCGCGCGCAACTGACTCAGACGATACGAATAGACCTCTGACGTTGGCTCAAGTTAAGTTGCGGTCTGGCGAGCATTAACGAATCGGAGCGTCCGACACAAGGCTCAAAATGCGGTAACGCACATTAAGTAAACGCAAACTAGACACCAAAACTTTGCACTACCTTTAGCAAGTTGGAAGTTACGCTCTGCCCCTAACATAATCGTAAATTCCGGCCCGTTCACTTGCCGCAGTTTCATTTGGTAGTGGACGCGACGCCGAGGCAGGTGCACGCGAATACTAATTACCGCGACAATGTTTCGTGTGTTTAGTGTCGCTTTGTACAATAAACTAATATCCCAACAATGTTACCCGACTAATTTTACTACAGCGCGTGGTGATAAATGTGCATGACACAAACTTAGATTAAAATGGTGAAAATAAAATTTCAAAAATAAAAAAAAAACGTACCCGTGTCGAATATTCGGCGCAATGCTTGCGTTTGGCTTTGTGTAAAGATTTAAAAATGATTTGGTTGAGAATCTAAAAGAGGAACAAAACAAAACAAAAAACAACTGATTAGGAACGGACATGCACACATACTCGTCAATTAAAACTAAACACAGATTCACTTCAAAACAACAACCTGCATGCTTTGTTGTGGTAATTACTCACTTTGATTGTGGACTACTTATACTCTGATTGAAATCTCCAGTGGAGCTCCATCGTTTGTGCAGGCTGGCCGGATTGAGACTGCTTTGTGGGCTGCTGCTCACCGGAGGGCGCCTCGAAAGCGGCTGAGGCGTGGCTCTGGGCGATGGGGACGGAATCGGCGACACGCTACTAGAGCTTTGACTGTCACTGTGGAGGGATCCGGTGGATTGGTAATGAGTTGCACGGCGTTGCGGCAAAGCCGAACCGAAACTTCGTCGATTATCCAAAATATTATTTCTATATCACAAAATAATTAAATTAATATTTAAAATTTATTATTTTATATTATTTACTTAGGTGTGCTGTAGTTATTGCGCATGCGTGGATCTTTGGGACCATTGCGCGCCGGCGTGGACGGAGCTGACGAAGGCACATGATTCAACTGATTGGAGCTACCAAATTTGGCGCCTTCCAGGATCGTTATCCTGCGCAGAGCTTCCGCTAGTGTAGCTTTAAGACACACAAGTTCATCGCCTTGCTCCAGGACCCTACGCTCCAAATCGGAAACGCGGCCGGCAACTCCATGGCTTTCAGCTTCCAACATTTCATCTAAAAATAAAGTTTTGTGTTAATCCAGCTCTGGCAATTACTATAACGAGATAACAGAGTTGCGCGCAACTAGATAACAAATTAAAAGAATCATGTAATGATAGTAACTTAACCTTACTGTAGGCGTTAACGAGTCGCATATTCTGTATGGCGGTTTTGTACAAACTCATTGTGTCGAGTTTTTTGTTTTGCGCGCGTGTTTAACAAAAACCCAATGAAAACAACGCGCAATTATCGCGCCGCTTGTGTATTCACTTAATCACAATATGCGACCACCGTGGGCAGCGGGACGGAAAATTAATTCGCAGTTTAGGAGGAGCTGGTGCACATTGCGCCGCGCTGGAGGACAACATTTAGCGATTTAGCGCTAAACGACGATCAAATTGTGTGCCAGCCCGACGCGCTATCAAAAGGTCACCGGATTCAGCGTTAAAATTCAGTGCGCGGACAACATACGAATTAATGAATAAAAAAATCAAATCATTGCGCTGTTTTCATCATTATCACACACAACTTTACTGTATATAATCCAGTTGCTTTCAGATGACATAAAATTTCATATAATTTTACATAATCAAATTTTAATTGCGTATAACTTTTAAACCAGTAATGATATTTTAAAAATCTTTATTTCTATGGATGCAGAATTTAATTATGAATAAATTACTGAAAGAATTGTAAAAATATCACAAATAGTTTAGAAGTAATTAATTAAAAACTATAGCGATGCAAGGCCAACGCAACTATAGACTATATACGCACACGAATATAAAATGTAGTTGTAAACTTACTCCACGCTATCGTCGTGGTCATTTCCAAATTAGATTTCGATGCGTCCGCATTGATTTCGGTCATTGTTGCTCAACACACCGAAACGGGCGTATCTCATTAGTGAGTGTATCATTGAGTTAAACGTAACCTAATTTATTGACTATTTTTTTGGTGAACACTTTAAACACTATTCAACTGAACAATTTTTTTTATTCAACATTTAATTTAATATTTATCACTGTAATTTTTGCACTGGTTTCGCTTGGCTTTGAACTCTTGGCGGACGATTTGCACTAGAAATTTGTATATTTTAGACACATTTTCGTTGATTTAGCACTCGAATATGATGATGGTGCGTGCACGCCAGGGTGAAATTCATGTTTGTTGTGAACGATGTTTTCAGCGGCACTGAATGACGCGCCGGTCGGCGACGGCAACGTGGAGCGTCGCGACGCCGACGCTCCTAATCGATATACACCGACGTGCCGCCCACCGGAGTGTGGATGCTCTTCACTTTACGCCACGCCGAGTTTCACTCTCGTTCGAGTACCTACATGTAATCATAATTTTCAGCGATAATCTCGGCTTTGCATTTGATGTTTTTCCGTTGTGTGTTTCAAGTTTAAAGTGTTTCAAGGTCGGTGAAAATTGAAAGTTTTAATTAATTTGAGTGCGCATATAAGGCCCTTGCGGACTTGGCACGCAATGTGTGTTATCAATGTTCAACACGCTGGGAAGTTTGCGTGCGCAATAAATTAGCCACGTTTTGCGGTTCGTACTTAAACAAAAAGCAATCGCGAAAAGGTGAGCGCCGTCGTGTGTAAGCGATTTTCAATTTCCGGCGTTATTATGATTCGAGTAATGGCGCACTATCGATCAGATTAATATTTACTGCATTGGCTATTATTCCAGTACATCAAACATAAATCTACCATATGCAACCGAATACACACGTCAATACACTCAGCTATGTTTAGGCAATACGTTTCCAAGGTAACGACATGTATGCTGGGTTGCGTACGGTAATATTATCCTCAACATTGAACGAGTAAATCGAAGTGAAATTACACCTTAAATTGAAATCATTGATTACGATGATGGTGCTTATAAGGAAAAGAAAGTAAACGGCGGAATAATGGAAACTTCCTGTTCGGCGTCGTACAGCTGAGAAGAACGTAACACGACGCCACATTTCGAAATTCGCATTTAGATTTTCGGCGGTCATGAACGTAAAAATGTAAAACACGACGTAAATCGAGTAGAAAGCGTCGAAAGAAATGGTAGCGCAAATTTCGGACCACCCGCGACGCGTTGCGCTTGATTCTAAATCGAAATGGCAGCCAAACAGAGTAAAAACCAGCGTGGGCAATAAAATTGAAACAAAATTCTCTCAAATTAAATTACGCTGCATCCAGCTGATAATTGAAGTTAATTCGTTGACGTTGCACGTTATTGTTACAATTGACAATCGACAATGGGAAGGTCATCGCCACCACTCAAGCGTAAATCCGTTTGCCAGACATATCAACAAATCAATTATTTATTTACCCAATTTCACAAAGAAAAAACAAAAATGGCGCAGTTAAAATCTCGAAATTTCATATCCGTACGTGACTTGAATATGAAATCAATTGTTTGCATTTTGTTGTTATTATGCAACACTAATTCGTCGGTGATATCATACGGCCTCAAGGTAGCACCAGCAATAACTCTGTGCATAACAAAACAATTTCTCAGTTGCAAGTCGCAACTCATTATCATTCTGGATGCGTATCTACAGAATCATTAATATTAAACAATTGAATCATGGTGCACCATGCACACACCTTATTACATCCTGTCATTCGTTTCGTGTCCTTCAGCTCGTTAGGCAGACTTTAATGGATCGTCAAATTGTCACTTTGCATCAAGTGGGTAAATCGACGAGGTTTGAGGTGAACACGAAAACTATTTACACACTTTTCTAAACTTATAATGGCCGTCGAGCACGAAACTTCTTAGTTTTTATTGCTTTTGTAACTAGCGGTTGTTGTGTTTTTTATTCTTCCGCTCGGAAGTTGGATTTTCATGCGCGTTTAGGTAAACTTGCGCTTTCTTCACGTGAGCACTGATCAAATTAAACTTTCTCCGGGAATCATTTGTTATTGTATGTGAAGTGAATAATTATACAATGAAAATTTAATTTTATCACAATGTAAGCAATTTCTATTCGTGAATCGATTGAAAATCTTGCTATAATTGATAGTTTGTAGTTGCTACGCACTTAAATCTTGTACGAATGTCAACAAAACACTCAATACGCTTAATATTGATATATCTGGTAGTCGCTGGTGCTTAGCGGTATTTGCCACCGAGTGAAAACATCTTCACGTAATGCGAAAGGTAAACAAACACAAAGTGGATCCTTACCGTTGCCGTTCGATTCCTCGATGGAGTCGCCGTTCAGCCGCATCGCGCTCGTTGACGACGTCACCTTGAGGACGTCTATTGAACCACCACGCGTCGATGCCGAAGTCCTCCTCTCCTCCTTCTTCTCAGGCTGCGATGCGCATTTGTTCGATATTTATTTTTCAATCATGCGAGGTTTTCCAATCCGGCATTGAACGATAACTGCGAAAACAAATAGAAAACCAGTTTGTAATTAAACACTACATGTTTACTATGATAAGTGTCATAGAAATAAGAAATTGTTAATAATATTGGAACAATGACTTGTTATCTTGCGTTTTAACAACTTAAACACGATTTTTTAATTAAAAAAAACCGGTATTTGTATTTTTAAATACCGATATACCGGTATACCGATATTTCAATTGAACTATTCAGAAAAACGAAGTAATAATATTAAAATACATAAAATAAAATTAAAAAATACCGGTATACCGATATTTTAATTTAAAAAATACCGAAATACCGGTATTAAATTCAAAATTCAAGATTTTTCCAAAAAAAAGCAAATTCCTCACTGATGTAAAATGTAAATATAAGTAAGTATGCAATAAATTATGCGATGTTTTGAATCTCAGCCGTATGACAGTTTATCTAGGCTCCTTGGCAAGAACCTGGCTCGAAGAAACTGTTAGGTATGCATAAATGCGAGGCGCGAGAAGCGCACCAACACCAGTAATGCGCCTAATGAAGGCAATGAACTGTATGATAGTCGGTCGAAGGAAGTCGAACGCCGGCTGCATACCTCTGGCAAAAAGCAAATCTTTAGCTATAAAAGCCAAGCACTGCGGCGTGCCGCAAGAAGAAAATCAGAAATGCGCCGTTTAAAGATGGCCGACGCGCGCATAACAAATAAATCCGATATCGGTTACATGCATAAATGATTGATTACGACACCCAATAAATAATTTAATTGATTTATTAGAGTTGAAAGACAAATTGACATGTTAGCAAGCAATAATTATACAGATTACACATATTCACGCCATTAGCAAATTGGTTCTGCGTCTATTACGAGTCTGAATGTGATATTTCTGGTGTGGATTTGATATAATCAAGAAAGAAAGTTGATTGCCTCGGGTTTGATACAAATCACTTTCGAAATTGGTCCCGAATCAACGTAATTATCAAATCCCAAACTGGAAAATTCTAAAACGACGAAATTAATCCGCTAGAACAATAAAATTATTAAAAATGATTAAAATCTTGGTAATAAATTCGTTGAATTATCGAATTACATATCTCACGATTTATTCACGCCGCGAATTTTTATTGTAAAACACTGATCGGATGATTGGAATGTGATATTTGGGTCAAGATAAAATATTTTCCAGATTTGACATCGTTCCCAATGCGCTCAAAACAGACTTGCAATAAAATCCACGCCATTGTTCGGCTTTAAATCAATCGATTTCTAATAAGGAGCTCAATAAACTTGGAATTCAATTAATTTTATTTATTAACAGGCTATCTATTTGATAAGATATTTGTTTGATGACAATGATATACATCCCGTAATTCCTTGAATTTGTCAAATAGCATTTGGGTATCGAAATACCAAAATGGCGAACGAGACCAGATTTGAACTGAACAACCTTTTAATACCATAATTGGCATTGTTCGGACATGACTCACGCCATCCACTGCGCGAGCCTAACTTTGATCGAAGTAAACACACAGACAAATACTTGCAATGTGTGATGGCTCTACGAGGCGACAAAATGACGCTGGTAATTTACGAGTGAGCGCAAGCCGTGACGCCGAACATATGTCCAAGTAATTAGTACATGCGCGCATAAGTGAAATTTCAAAATTAGTTTTGCTGTGTTGCGTTTAGCGCCAGCGGCGGACAAAGAATGCCATTAACATCACACAAGACATTGACAACGAGGACACATTTGGTGCGCAATTAAAATCAATCAAATTTAGGGATTATTAAAGTTTAATTTGATTAATCTATAAAATAACATATGTATAACTTCCACATTTTCAATATCAACCGGAATTTTATTAAATTTTATTTCCTTTTAGATAAAATCAGTATACAAATATCTATAATATTAAAATCAATCGAAACATATGTTGGTACGCGCATAACTCAACACCGCCTGGACCAATTTGGCCAATTCTTTTTTTTAATGTTCGTTAAAGTCCAAAGATGGTTTTTACGGCGAGAAAACTTCAAATAATTGCCCGGAAAACCATAAAAACAGCTTTTTTCTATAGGATAAAAGTTGGCATTGATTCAATCATAGTAATAGTTAAATAGTTGAATTCGAGATGGCGCGCTGATGTGCACTAGTAGCAATTCTTTATATGCCTAATTAATTTCTTTAAAATAAAATTACGAATCTTATTGATAGAATTGACAGATACTATGTCTAGAACAAGAGAGTAAAATCGAATTATATTTTTATTAAACACTACCGGAACGAAGTTTTATTATTTTTAGTGAAAAATAAAATTTTATTAAATTTGATTTCTTTTCAGATTAAATCAGTACACAAATATCAATAGATAAATATTATTGATTTCTAAAGATAATAATAATGCATAACACTTATATTTGAATGCGTTTCGCTTATCATTATTTAAAATTACGGAGAAATAACGTTTCAACTGTTGTTTTGTTCAATGGCGAATTGTTTTATACGTTATTAGATTTTAACAGTTTCGGTGAAAGGTGTAACATACGTTTGGTAGGTAGACATATGGCAGACCGGATGTCTTCTTCGTGTGAACTCACCACCAGCTATTTTTTATCAATATACAGAGTATTACAACAAAACAACTAATTTCCAAAGTCATTTTTGTTATTTTTAACTATTTTCAGCCATTTTAGTAGTTTTCACTTAACAAAAAAACTAGGCAACTTAATGTGCACTTATTAAATTACATACTAAATTTAATGTTTTTGTATTTTGATTTTTTATCGCTCTGTATGTGCGTAACGAAAAGGAAATATTTCCGCCATCAGGTAAGCAAACGCGCCCGCGTTATGCTAGAACGATAACGAACAAAAAGCCAGACGCCACACACAAACAGATAATATGTCGCACCTGTCTTTTTATGGTGGTCACACAAAGAAGTGCACTACACTCAGTGACTTGGCTTTATAGCCATGAGGATGCCATTGAAAATGCGAGTAAATCATTATCTTTAATAAGTATATCGCGCCTCACACTTGCCCTTTTAATGCACTTAAATTCCTGCAACAAAAAACAAAACACAAACGCTTGCGTTAAATGTCTGATTAGCCGTCGCTTGGAATTCAATTACGAGTTATTACCGTAGTTATTGCCGGTCGTTACGAGCTGATAGAATAATCCGCACCGAAAAGGTAGAAAAACTAATTGCGCAGCGAAGGCTGCGAAAGTCATTTATCTTCATCAGATCGCAAAATTCAACTCATATTACAAGTCCTATTGAACAATACGTGTAATTTCTTGTTTATGCTTCAAAACCTACGCAGAGAGCAAAAAAGGCAATGCCTAATCGTTCAACACTTAAAATACTGTATTTTCTATTATTTTATTCTTCTGGTGTTATTACAATTCGTGTAATTATAAGTTTATGATTTTAGCTCGACGTGTGCTGTTTTCTCAGGCGCGTTTAGCACAGTTTCTTGTCTTTGGCACGTAACTGTCCGATGGGAATCGTTAAATATTCAACTAGGAAACCGAGATGAGAACGCATTGATGGTGTGTCTATGTGTGTGTGTGTATGTGTCTCGAGTGTCGGAGCCGTTTGCATCCGCTCCGACATTGTTTCTTGCTCCATCTCATTAAACCCTCTCAGCGGCGCACATCCTCGGCTAATAATAAACAAAAGGAACCGTTTAACAACATCCGCTCCTCGTTCCCAGCCACTCTACTTTCCAGTTCGGCTTCCTCGCATGCACAATTCAGTAATATTTTCGTTTCAAACGTTCGTTCGTAAGTTTGGTTGGGTGTAAATTTAAACATAGGCAACCAGGTATGCAATAAATTATCAGTTTACTGTTATTGGTTGGTGTTTATGCTGGCTTCTGGTTGGGAGGCTGGCATATTTTCATGAAAATCACATCTTGCCTTTCCACGCCTCGACGTCGTGACATTGAATTCGAAAGCTGGCGAGCGCCGGCGACTGTAGCGCGAATTCCACGAATAAATGTTGCTCCGAATGTACACTTACTTACAACATTCTCTCGGCGCGTAGTCGCGGCGCTCGCACGGCTTCTCATTTTACCTTCGCGTTTATTTTTATCCCATGTATGGCAATCATATGCATTTATTGGTATTATATGGACTTGAACGCGATTGCAAGCACCCAATCACGTACGCTGCGCGAATAATTACAACAGTCCTTACTCAATCTAACATTGCGCATGCGCAGCACAACTTGTGTTTGTTTGGTTGCCTAGCAGATGCCAAAGAGAAAATCTATTATTCCAGCTTTCTACATAATAATTCAAGTGCATTCTGTTGCATTTAATTATAAAATTGTAAATGATATTATGTGCGAACGGATTACACTATAAAAACGTGTAGCAATTTAAAGTAATTTATATTTGCATTGTGCTATTGTTATAAACTTTATATTCAATTCGCTTTTTCAATTATATTTAGTGCGCAGAATATAATCAGCAGTTGTCATGGAGCAAACTAAGCGCCAGAACACCTGAATAAATAATAAAATACCGGAAAACTCTGTTTGCATGCCGCCATTTCTCATTTCAGAGGAAGTGAAGAGTGCATCGTACAGTTTATATACTTTATACACGTACGAGTATTTGCACATTTGCACTTGACATTAAATATTGATACAAAAGGAGCAAATCACACAAGCGGAAAATTAAAAACGACGAAACACAATTCATGCGGAACTTTTCCACACGGATATTAAATGATAAGCTACTGCGCATGAGCTGTAGCAGCCGGTTTATTAAAATGCATCTCAAGTGAATCGAAAGACGCAAAGCGGGATGACATCATATGAAAGTAATAAAAATAGCGACATTTTTGAAAACCTGTTTGCAGATGACATCACATTATCAAATTCACACTCGGTATGTTAAAAATTCGCATAGCGTGCAGTTTGTTTTTATGTAACTGCCTGCAACGAAAAGAAAGTTAAAAAATCCGAACTCGGCAGAACACGGCGAAATAAAAGTAAACAATATTGCGTAAACGCTGCTAACACACAATCGCACTCGGGCATTGCAAATCAAACAAACGATGAGAGTCAAAAACAATCGCCCCGCGCACTTAGCACTTATCGGCGCAAAAATCAATATGTTTTTATAAGGCGCAAAATCAATATTGACACGCTGGCTGCTTACCTATTTAATAAATAGTTGGAACGCGAGGTTCGTTTCGACGCTTCAATTGCACTTCTGGCTCAACGCTTCGCATTTATCACTCGCGTCATTTATTCCCTGCGTTGACGAGCCGACCGAAGGTGATGCAGGATGCACGAGGACGAACACTTGTTTGTGTAAACAGTGGCCAAGCAGCACACGAACAAAACGCAAACTATTTTTTGTTTAAATTAGCACAGAACATCCAAACAAAAGCACTCGAGTCATGGATTTGTGTTTTAGTTTATTTGTCTACACCATGAGGTATTATAGAATATATTCACCCGCGAATATGTTGTGAATACATACAGACAAAATGGTTGATAAGATTTGATTCGCGACAAAAATGCACGATGCACGCGGTGTGCCGCTAGCGGGTATCAGCGGTGAACTGCGCGACACGAACGTTAACGTTTGTGCTGAGCTCCGCGGCGCACAACCTGCTGAGTAAATTATAAAACGCGCACAAGGTGAGGTGGTGAGGTAGAGAGGAGGTGGCTGCTTGCAGGCGATTACGAACGCGAGTGCCGGTACAGGTAGGTTCAGCGGGAATGCCTCTTACCTCACACCAGTTTGGATATGACTTGGGCTTAGGTATTACTGAGTTAAGTTGGTTAAGTCACAAATGCCCTAAGATATTTTTACCTGGACTCGGCGTGCTGTGTGCTGAGTTGGTGCAAATTCTTGAATGGGAAAAGTAATTTCATTCGCATGCATTTGTTTTACAAACTGGTTTGCTAAGCAGGACGATAATATTTACAAACATTTGCAGGAGTCTGGTTTTGGTAGTTAGCTTGTGATTGCACGGTGTACCATTTCCCTTGACTTACCATTAAATTTGAAAATGTTTGAAATTATGTTTTATATTATTCTATTCATTTATATTGTTTTAAGTTGTAAATAAGCAGATTAAAAAGTAATACATATTAATATTTAATCTGATAAATTAAAATAATGATATTTTTGGTTATTTTTACGAAAAACTGCTTTTTTATTTATACCATGTGCCATCATGTAGTACCATGTGTACCATTTCGAGTATAGGCAACACATATTACACCGTTTCATTTGTAACCGTAATTTCTTCACGTGGTTGGACTGTAGATATTCAAATCAAACATATAAACAAACTAATCAAATTTAACTATAACAAATTATCATGTTAGTCTCACAGGTATAATCCCCTTAATTTTTTTTTATCAAAATACACTAATATACATTAATATATACTTTAGCTTGCTGACAAGGATGGTGGTTCAGAGTCTGCGACAACTTTTGTGTTTGATAATGAAGGCCATACCTTAGGAAATGGTTTAAGATTTATTATATCATCATAGTAAGTGTAAACATTTGTAAATTGACAGTGGATCTAAATATTTATATTGTAGTCCTGATGTTGAATTTTGTGGATATACAGTTCCTCATCCCGCAGAAGCAAAGATGCACTTCAGAATTCAAATGAGAGAGGGAAAGCCAGCAATTGAAGCATTGAAGAAGGGTTTACAAGATTTGTCTAAAGTGTGTGATTATACACTGGAAATATTTGACACTGAGTATAAACAATACGTAGAGACACATCCAGTCGATACATAACTGCTTCCTTACTCGATAGCTATAAATACAAGCAGTGTTTATATGTTCAGTCATTTATATACTGAACTTTCATAGCATAAGGGTTTAAGTATGTTATTTGGCATTTTGTTAAAACTATTAGTTAATTATTATAAATGACGAATTAACAGTTCAAAAATATTCAGAATAGGTGAAAAATATGTTTAATATAAGTGTAATTATGAATTTTCTTTATTATGCAATGTATAATAAAACTGTTTACTTCCTTATTTAAGTATTATTTCATTTTGATCCATAATATTCTAATAGTGTAATTATTTTGATCATCAGCAAAGTGATTTGCTTAAATTAATATTTCTATCAGCAAAAAATGAAAAATTTCGCAAAAATAATGTCCTATACCACAGTTTATTGGTCGCTGCGGGTATGATCTTATTTACGCCCGTAAATAAATTCTTTTACAAAAATAAACGAAATAAAAGCCAAATTGGATGAGATTTATTGAAGAAAGGCAATCGTTGCTATGGCGATAGCATTCATCCCTTCTAAAGCCGCTCACTCGCCGACAAATACCATTCAGCCGAGAATCAAAAGAAATGAAATAAGATGAAATAAAATGCAATTTTCGAAAATTAAATGAGGCGCGAAATGTTATGAGTGAAGTGTGTTTGCGGAAACACCAGAAACAATTCGCATGAGGGAGTATTAAACATTGAAATACCGACGGTGACATGTGTAGTATCTAAAAATACTCAAAAATTTATTGATTTTCTAGAAAATAAAATACACAATGTCAGAAAAACTCTCTCCTGCAATTTAGGCAGTAATTACGTGTAAAAGTTAAAAGAAAATGTATAAAACTTACCAAAAGCATTGAAATTTTTCTAAAACCGGGTACCATTTTACCCAAAAACTGAGGCAATGCAGTTATGAAAGGAATGATGCAAAATGCAGTCGAAACAGCGCACCGCCAGAAAGAAATTGAAGACATCGAGAGATATTGCATCTCGTATAACGTCGGACGTGATCAGTATGGGTCTGCGAGTCTGCGGCACCCACATCACCATCACCATCAGCGTGGTCGCGCCGCACATGCCGCGGCAACGTTCATTACAAAACCAACACCAACAGTTGGATGTGCTGCGGTGGGTACGTCCACGGCTAGCACAGTTCGCATTTACATCCTCGCAGCATCGCTGTCCGCGCGCGTTTACCAAATACTTTCGTTCGTGAGCCATTCGTTTTGGTTGCAGGTCGCACACACCGGTAATTAATTACTCTCACTGCACGCGCGTGAATAGATTTATTAATTAGCATAGGTTTAGTCAAATTTGTGTGACAAATATCTCTTAAAACCGTTGAAAACTCTTCAATTTACATCTTATTACATTTAAAACTGGGTGAGTGACTAAATAATTAAGTAATATTAGATAAAGTTATCTTGTACCAAGTCAAGTTCACATCATTTAGACTTCATCAAAATTTTATCTACTAACTGAAAGTTTACTTGAAGTTTCTGGGAGTTCAATGACGTTTTTATATATTTCATTTCAAAGTCTGTAACGTAAACAATTGTAGCTTAAATTAGTCATTGCGACTCTGAAACTATTTTTAATTATTAGTACATGCTTCCAATGAGTAATCAACAATAACCGCTCAACGGACGTATGTCATGAGACATATCTGCAAAAAGTTTAGTGTCGGTATGCATATTTATTCGTGCATTGTGATTATTCTATGCATTCCCACCGGTTATAATTGTGTCTGATGTCATATGCGTGTAGTTTAATTTCCTTCTCGTTCCACGCGAAAAACTAAAAATACAACCTGCGGCTTGGTCGGTCAGTGAAATGTGTTACAAGAGACGCGGTTTCGATCGGTAATAAACGCCAGAATGCGTCACCTACGCGCTTTTTTAAAAGCGATTGTTTATATTTGCGTGAATAAACCTACGTTTCGTGTTCGATATTAATAAATTTCTTTTTAAATGTTAATATATTCAGTAAATTCATCAGCAAAATTCTATAAAATCAATGTTTGTAGTTGAAATTATTTAAAATTTAATACAACGAGCTGGAATAGTTGAAATTGAGCTAATTTTTTACGCAATTACTTTACTAATGGCGCACATCAGGTAAACCTGACCCGACAGTATAGTTTATGAGGTTTTTGGCCGTTTTATTCGGCCCACACTGCGAAAGTTCGTCGGCATAATATATTATAATCAAACGGCACCAACTACAAACCACGCAATTGTTTATACAAGCGTAAACACACGTAAACTCTTGTAATAAAAGTCAAATGTAATTTTTAAAGTTAAACTTTGCGAAATACAGAAATAGAACGTTCACAGAAAGATAAAGATTTTCTACGGAAGTAGTGCTTAAAAATAACTCAAAGAAAATTGATTTGTGTGTGTTTATTGTTGATTGTTGTTCGCACATCAGCAAAGTGTTTGATTGCCCAAAGCAGCCGCGTTCTTCGCGTGGAAAGCAATTAAACAGAATACAGCACTAAGTGCGTTATTTTAAGAATGTGAGCAATTCACATTCTTAATCGCCGTTCATCAATGTGTAGCATTAGGACCGTCGACCCTGAAACGAGCGTAAAATGTGTTACAGTGTTTATGCAAGCGTTGGTGCGTTCATGCAAAGTTTCGTTTTCATGCGCCCTGTTTTAATAAACATGATTTATAATCACTGACGAATATTGACTGAATTTTAATTACGCACCAGCGCACTAACAAAAACAACACTGGTGCGCAAATGTTTTGTTTATAACATTATGACTAAAATGAAAGCCAGTGTCGCATGAATTACACCCGGGAATATATTAGTGTAAATTAAAAGCGATGATGATGATGTGATCGAGTGGCGCATAAAACACGAACAGAGCGCATTCACGCCCAACTTGTTCGTTTGATCGCCAACGTGCGTTATCAACTCGCGCTATATAATTGTATACAAATTAGTCGCACGGAAAAACTTTGTTTGGTTCCCGGAAAAAAAATCACACAACACGGTTCGAATTAGTTTGTTGGCGGCAACAGCCTATGATTAAATGCGTTTACACGTTGGATAAACTCGAGCACGCAATTTGGACACGAATGCATATCACAATATCACAACTTACAAGTAAAAATAATTAAAAGTAGGCAAAGAGATCAGAATATTAAAAAAAATATTTAACAAAACTTTTAAAACTTATGACTCTTTACGAGTATGTTAGAACAAGAGAGTAAAAACGAATTACATTTTGATTAAATACTGCCGGAACGAAGTCGCGGGCAACAGCTAATACTTTAATAAAAGTAAACAATTCAATAGTGTGGACTGTATTTGTTGTGATATTTATGGTCGTATTTAGTGCGATTCCGGTGGGGCTTTCAGTCCAAGTCGGCAAAGAAACTTCTTCCTGGTTGCAGTAATACATCATCGTTGCGAGCGTGCCCGAGCCGAAATAAACCCATTATTCGCCGTTATTGCAAGCGTACCACAAACGTTCAACTTAAAATAAATGTACGGATATCTCAAGTTTCACTTCATACATACTGCTTGTCTATCCAAGACGTTGTCAATTGTTTTCACTTGCAAATCACGCAAAACTTAACACAAAGTAGAACAGTGTTAATTTTCAAAGCCTTTGGCATTGATTTGTTGCTATATTTATCGCGCTTGCTTAAACTAACAATATTAAAAACATCACGCCCAGCGTCTTCTAACGAATGCAGAGCTTCCTGTCTTGACAGACAAGCGCACGCTTCGTTTTCCGCCCGGTTTCCGCTCGTCAACACAAACGTGAACAAACAAACAATACAACAAATGTAAACATTTACATATCACATACGTGTCCAACTGATGTTTCGCACGTTTTGTTCCCGCTGAATATATTAAATGTCCTGAAACGGCTTAGAAATTATCCGCGCATGCGCACTCGCCGGGCCAAGGTATATTGTTAATTTAACATTTAAAACATTGCCATTCCAATTACCGAGCACAATTTGAAGCAATGTTTATGTACAAGTTAAACATGCATTAATTCCAAGACGGCGGCAATACACAGTTGCTGAAAATTATTCAAATCAGAGAAAGGTAAGCGCGCCGGTTACCCGCAGTGGGTAACAATGCGTCCGATCTCTTCGAAGGCTCGAGGGTTGTAGCAAAGAATGTTTACCTAAACGATACCGAATAATTATGCGCTATTATAAACTGGCGCATGAATATTCATTTAATTCGTCATAAGACAAACGCAGGCGCGCCGAGCACGTCGCGACGTTGAGTCGTTAATAACGCTCGTCGCCGCGATAACCCTTCTTCTAATTTTCTTTAACCCCTTCGATATTCATTCCTTGTTTATCTAGCGGTGCATATATTAGCTTTTCGCGCAATGCCACAGCTGCCGCTTGTTGATATTGCAAATATGCGTGGGGAAATGTAAACCGCTGAACGTTGATTTAACGAAAATGTTTTGTTTTACAGATTTTTCAATCATGAAACTACTTACCGTACTTATCCTAGCAGTGTGCATCTCGAAAGCACCTGCGAAACAAGAAGCAGACAACAGTAACATTATCCCAAGTACCGATATCTGCCAAACTAAAGAGACTGACGAACAAATTCACTGTTTCTGTGATCAAGGAGGTGATCCCAAAGTGGTCAAGATAGAATGTTGGATTGTCGGTGGTAATCTAACACAAGACTACAACTACTGGAAGTTACTCCACAACCAGCCACATGTGAAATCGTTGCGAATGATGGTGAAACCACGCGGTAACCTGACATTCCTTCCGCAACGTGTGTTGACCCACCTGGGGAGTTACAGAAGTTCGAAATAAGCCACGCCACGATTGATGACATACCCTCGCATACTTTCGCGAACATGTCAGCACTGACACTTGTCAAGCTGGACCGCAATCAAATTGCTTCCATCGCGGCGAATGCCTTTGCCCACTTGCCCAACCTTACCGAGGTGAATCTCGATGAGAATCGAGTGCGTGAGTTGCGTAGGGGCGTGTTCGTCGACGTGCCGGCATTGCACACGTTGTTCATCACAAGGAACAATATGAGTATTATTCATGACGGTGCTTTTGAGCACTTGCACAACTTGGCGGAGTTGGAACTCTCTGGGAATGACATTTCGGTGCTCACCAAGGACACTTTCCTAGGTTTAGCAAATCTGCGAAAACTGGATTTAGGTTTTAACAGTGTATCAATGCTAGGAGATTATACTTTTTCTGAGACACCAATGTTAGAAGATCTTTTGTTAGAATCTAATAATATACAACTTATTACCGAGAAAGCTTTCACGGGACTTGGAAATTTACGAAAACTGATATTGTCGCACAATAAAATTACCAGTCTACCATCAAGGGTTTTTGAAGGTGTGCCAAATTTGTTCTATCTGGATCTAAAGACCAACTTTTTGGACACTTTAACATACGAAACAATGCGTCCCATTCTGCATAATTTGATCAACACGACAAGCTATTTTCTAGTCGATGGTAAATTTTGTTTTTTTTTTGTTTCCCGATACGGTTGCTTAAAATGTGATCTTGTTTGTTTAGTTAATCAATTCACGTGTGACTGCCGCCTGGCGTGGATACATCGTCTTCATAATCAAACTGAGAGTAATTCAATACGAGGGGAACTCGAATCCATGCTGTGCCGTTTTGCCCGAAACGAAACGGAGCAGGAGGACTCTGTCAAAGTAACCACGATGTTACCATCAGCAAAAGGCAGTGATTCCGATGATGTAGAATACGAATACGAGTACTACGACGAGCTGCAAGGACCGTCCGATACCAGCCGACTTCTGCAAATACCGCTCAACGAACTGCCTTGTACGCAGGACGAGCTCGCCTCGGAAGAATTGCGTCAGATTATGAACGTGCCAAAGGATAGTGTTAATTCAATAGGGATTCCTCGACCAGATTTGTATCTCATCGCAGTGATCGCGTGTGCGGTTTGTAATTGGATTTAAAAAGTGTCATGAATTGCAGATGACCTTGTACAGATAATATAAATTTCCCAGACCCAGAAGCTAGAATATTGTATGTATGCACCAACATGACCTAGGACGTTAATTAATCAATAAATGGCAGTGGGTTTTTGTACTTTATTCTAAACCAAACGCGACGCTTATAACCACGTACTAGCAGTATTTTTTTTGTAAATTACTTGTTTCATCTTACCGAATAAAGCAAAAAAGTCATCTGGTTGTTTAATTGTGAATGATATTTATTTCTTTACGTGAATGCAACACGCGACACAAGTGCGCGTAATGGTGGAAACTTTTGTTGCGGCGATGTCGTCGATATTAACACTTTAAATCCGTGTCGTATTTCAAAACACATCCTACGCGGAAACCCCAACCACGGGCGGCGGATATTAAGGTAGGTATAAGTTACCAGCTGACCGACGTGAGCGTTTATTCAAGCACGCGCCCTAAACAAGACTCCCCAATTCGCGATTCGGCAGATTTACCATAGCTTCGCATCTATACAAGTGGTAAAAGTTTTAGAAATTTACTCGTTTCAGAAATGATATAATTTTGCTGATTATATTTCAGTAATTATTACACAATATCGATCTATTAGTTACGTTATAATTTTGATATGCACTGTATATGTATGCTGTTGTGATAATATTATTTTTTATTTCAAGGATAAAATATTTATTCTGGATAGTCACCTGTAATTGTTAGTAGTGCAGTCAAAATGTCCACAAAGAAACACCATGCATTCGTGTCCTCACGAAAAGGATCCCAACGATCACAAGATGTACCAGGCATTGGTTCTGTATACGCCGGACGACTTGCTAAACATAATATAACTTCGGTAATATTTTATTGCATAAAGCATTTTTAATTCTCCTATCTGTACGTTATCTGCAATATAGGCGTCACAGTTGACGGATTTATATCATCAAACTAGCAGTAAAGCGGAGTTTCTACGTGAATACCAAAGTATGACAGGTGCTAATTCGCGCTATTCCGATATGACATATGAAGGAATAAGACAACAAGCTGCTATGAGTGGTAACTATGTTAATAAAAGCAGTTTTACTTTATGCATAGCTTTAATATTTCTGCAATTAAAAAAAACGTTATCATGTACTTTAGATTATGGTCGTGAGTCATACTCGTACTCTACACCTGACTACTCATATAGTGCACCTTTTAACTTTGGTACAACTCGCCAGCCAACATATTCGACTTCTAATCAAACAATTCGTAATCCGGTTTCTTCTCCGCTTCTAACAACTGCAACCCAAGACCAGTCCAGCCAAGCTGCAAAGACCACCATTTCCACTACTGAAGTTAAGTTGAATCCAATCAAGAAACCAGTCGTCTATGGACTTGATCCCATTGATTTCTTATTGGTATTTCAGATGTCATTATTAAAGAAGATTCTTCGACAACACCGGCTATTCAACCAATTCCGACTCAAGTTAAGTTGGATCAGACTAAGGAAATCAACGCCTTTGGAAGTACCACCAATTCCGTAGATTCCACCTTGGTCCAGAATTCTACCACATCGACTTCCTCTCAGGATACGTCTGACCAGAAAGGAAACATTAGCATGTTTACCAACGCAATTAGTTCAGATTTCCCGAAAACATCTGTTAATCAAGATGTGGATCAAATTAAGAAGGAAGTGGGAATGGAGACTCAGAATGCTTCCCCAACAACTTTTAAACAAACATCGTTTAACCAAGATGAGGAACCCACCATTACCAGCGGTAATTCCCAGAATACATCCACTAAGCAACCAGCTGCTAAGGAAGATGTATCGGATCAAAGTAAGAAGAAAGTGGGAAGTGGGACGCAGAATGCAACCCTAATACCTTCGCCCAAGGACACGTTTAACCAAGATGAGAAACCCATCATCCCTTGCGGTGATTCCCAGAATACATCTATTAAGCCTCCAGCTGCTAAGCAAGATGTGTTGAATGAAATTAAGAAGAAATTGGGAATTGGTACTCAGAATGGTTCCCCTACAACTTTTAAACAAACATCCTTTAACCAAAATGAGAAACCCACCATTACCAGCGGTGATTCCCTGAAAACAACTGCTAAGCTACCAGCTGCTAAGCAAGATATGTTGGATCAAATTAAGAAGGGAGTGGGAACTGGGACGCAGAATGGGACACGCAAGATGAGGAACCCACCATTCCTTGCGGTGATTCCCAGAATTCATCTACTAAGCATCCAGCTGCTAAGCAAGATGCGTTGGATCAAATTAAAAAAGAAGTGGGAAGTGGGACTCAGAATGCACCCCAATACACGTTTAACCAAGATGAGAAACCCATCATCCCTTGCGGTGATTCCCAGAAAACAACTGCTAAGCAACCAGCTGCTAAGCAAGATGTGTTGAATGAAATTAAGAAGAAATTGGGAATTGGTACTCAGAATGGTTCCCCTACAACTTTTAAACAAACATCGTTTAACCAAAATAAGAAACCCACCATTACCAGCGGTGATTCCCTGAAATCAACTGCTAAGCAACCAGCTGCTAAGCAAGATATGTTAGATAAAATTAAGAAGGGAGTGGGAAGTGGGACGCAGAATGCAACCCCAATACCTTCGCCCAAGGACACGTTTAAACAAGATGAGAAACCTACCATTACTAGCGGTGATTCCCAGAAAACAACTGCTAATCACCCAATTGCTAAGCAAGATGTGTTGGACCAAATTAAGAAAGAAGTGGGAAGTGGGACTCATAATAGATCTCAACCCCTGTTTAAAGACACATATAACCAGGATGTCAAGCCCACCATTTCTAGCGTCGAGTATAACGCATATTCCCCAAAAATATGGGCTTCGGAAACACACGCTTTTAAAGATGTGACCAAGGCTTCAAATCCTTATATCTGTGGCAGATGTTTGAACGACCAGAAACGTGGGGAACTTTTGGATCTTCGGATTGCAACGGCAAAAGCTGACCAAATTGCAAACGAAAAGCTAAACAAACTTAAGATTCGTGCTTTAGAGCTAGAGATCGAAAACAAAGAGCTTGATCTACAGATAAAGAAAAAATCTTTATCAACTTAAAAACTTATAACCTGTTATAATCAATTTATTAATCAACACTGTATACACAATAGTTGATACAATAAGTGTATCAATGCTGGGAGATTATACTTTTTCTGAGACACCACTGTTAGAAGATCTGTTGTTAGAATCTAATAATATACAACTTATTACAGAGAAAGCTTTCACGGGACTTGGAAATTTACGAAAACTGATATTGTCGCACAATAAAATTACCAGTCTACCATCAAGGGTTTATAGAATAGTGTTAATTCAATAGGGATTCTACGACCGTATTTGTATCTCATCGCAGTGATCGGGTGTGCGGTTTGTAATTGGTTTTAAAAAGTGTCATGAATTGCAGATGACCTTGTACAGATAATGTAAATTTCCTAGACCCAAAGGCTAGAATGTTGCATGTATGCACCACCATTACCTAGGACGTTAATTAATCAATAAATGGCACTGGGTTTTTGTACTTTATTCTAAACCAAACGCCACGTTTATAACCACGTACTAGCAGTATTTTTTTTGTAAATTACATGTTTCATCTTATCGAATAAAGCAAAAAAGTGATCTGGTTGTTTAATTGTGAATGATATTTATTTCTTTACGTGAATGCAACACGCGACACAGGTGCGCGTAATGGTGGAAACTTTTGTTGCGGCGATGGCGTCGATATTAAAACTTTAAATCCGTGTCGTATTTCAAAACACATCCCACGCGGAAACCCCAGCCACGGGCGGCGGGTATTAAGATAGGTATAAGTTACCAGTTGACCGACGTGAGCGTTAATGCGGATACACGTGCGCCCTTTTCTGGATATTGCGCGATTATTCAAGCACGCGCCCTAAACAAGACCCCCCAATTCGCGATTCGGCAGGTTTACGATCGCTTCGCATCGATACAAGTGGTAAAAGTTTTAGAAATTTTGCTCGTTTCAGAAATGATATAATTTAGCTGATTATATTTAAGTAATTGTGAAATGAAAACATTTTACTGACTAATGAAATAAGTGATTATTACACAATATCGATCTATTAGTCACGTTATTATCTTGACATGTACTGTATCAGTATGCTGTTGTGATAATATTATATTTTATTTCAATGATAGGATATATAGTCTGGATAGTCACCTGTAATTGTTAGTAGTGCAGTCAAAATGCCCACAAAGAAACACCATGCATTCGTGTCCTCACGAAAAGGATCCCAACGATCACAAGATGTACCAGGCATTGGTTCTGTATACGCTGGACGACTTGCTAAACATAATATAACTTCGGTAATATTTTATTGCATAAAGCATTTATAATTCTCCTATATGTAAGTTATGTACGTTATCTGCAATATAGGCGTCACAGTTGACGGATTTATATCATCAAACTAGCAGTAAAGCGGAGTTTCTACGTGAATACCAAAGTATGACAGGTGCTAATTCGCGCTATTCCGGTATGACATATGAAGGAATAAGACAACAAGCTGCTATGAGTGGTAACTATGTTAATAAAAGCAGTTTTACTTTCTGCATAGCTTTAATATTTCTGCAATTAAAAAAAACGTTATCATGTACTTTAGATTATGGTCGTCAGTCATACTCGAACTCTACACGTGACTACTCATGTAGTGCACCGTTTAGCTTTCCTACAACTCTCCAGCCAACATATTCGACTTCTAATCAAACAATTCGTAATCCAGTTTCTTCTCCGCTTCTAACAACTGCAACCCAAGACCAGTCCGGCCAAGCTGCAAAGACCACCATTTTCACCACCAATATTAAAGCAGATTCATCGAAAACATCGGCTACTGAAGTTAAGTTGAATCCAATCAAGAAACCAGTCGTCTATGGACTTGATCCCATTGATTTCTTATTGGCGCATACTTCTACCCCAGAAACTTCTCAGAATATATTTGGCCAGAATGAAAAGTCTGGTATTTCCAATGTTATTATTAAAAAGATTCTCCGACAACATCGGCTATTCAACCAATTCCTACTCAAGTTAAGTTGGATCAGACTACGAAAATCAACGCCTTTGGAAGTACGACCACTTCCGTTGATTCCACCTTGGTCCAGGCTTCTACCACATCGACTTCCTCTCAAGATACGTATGACCAGAAAGGAAACATTAGCTTGTTTACCAACGCAATTAGTTCAGATTTCCCGAAAACATCTGTTAATAAAGAGGTGGATCAAATTAAGAAGGAAATGGGAATGGAGACTCAGAATGCTTCCCCAACAACTTTTAAACAAAAATCGTTTAACCAAGATGAGGAACCCACCATTCCAAGCGATAAATTCCAGAATACATCTGCTAATTACCCAACTGCTAAGCAAGATGTGTTGGGTCAAATTAAGAAGGAAGTGGGAAGGGGGACGCAGAATGCAACCCCAATACCTTCACCCAAGGACACGTATAACAAAGATGAGAATCCCACTATTTCTAACGATGATTCCCAGAATACATCTACTAAGCAACCAGCTGCGAAGCAAGATATGTTGGATCAAATTAAGAAGGAAGTGGGAAGGGGACTCAGAATGCTTCCCCAACAACTTTTAAACAAACATCGTTTAACCAAGATGAGAAACCCACCATTGCGAAGCAAGATAGCGGTGAATTCCCAGAAACCCACATCTAGCGGTGATTCCCAGAAAACATCCACTAAGCATCCAGCTGCTAAGCAAGATGTGTTGGATCAAATTAAGAAGGAAGTGGGAAGGGGCACGCAGAATGCAACCCCAATACCTTCACCCAAGGACACGTATAACAAAGATGAGAAACCCACTATTTCTAACGGTGATTCCCAGAATACATCTGCTAAGCAACCAGCTGCGAAGCAAGATATGTTGGATCAAATTAAGAAGGAAGTGGGAAGGGGGACGCAGAATGCAACCCCAATACCTTCACCCAAGGACACGTATAACAAAGATGAGAAACCCACTATTTCTAACGGTGATTCCCAGAATACATCTACTAAGCAACCAGCTGCGAAGCAAGATATGTTGGATCAAATTAAGAAGGAAGTGGGAAGGGGACGCAGAATGCAACCCCAATACCTTCACCAAGGACACGTATAACAAAGATGAGAAACCCACCATTACTAGCGGTGATTCCCAGAATACATCTGCTAAGCAACCAGCTGCGAAGCAAGATATGTTGGATCAAATTAAGAAGGAAGTGGGAAGGGGGACGCAGAATGCAACCCCAATACCTTCACCCAAGGACACGTGTAACCAAGATGAGAAACCCACCATTACTAGCGGTGATTCCCAGAATACATCCACTAAGCAACCAGCTGCTAAGCAAGATGTGTTGGATCAAATTAAGAAGGAAGCAGAAAGTGGGACCCAGAATGCATCCCCAACAACTTTTAAACAAACAACAGAAATATCTGCTAGCCTACCAATTCAAATTAAAATATGCAATATTCATGAAACAAATGCTTCCAGAGATGTGACCAAGGCCTCACGTCCTTATATCTGTGGCAGATGTTTGAACGACCAGAAACGTGGGGAACTTTTGGATCTTCGGATTGCAACTGCAAAAGCTGACCAAATTGCAAACAAAAAGCTAAACAAACTTAAGATTCGTGCTTTAGAGCTTGAGATCGAAAACAAAGAGCTTGATCTACAGATGAAGAAAACATCTTTATCAACACCTGCTAATCAAAATGTGGATCAAATTAAGAAGAAAGTGGGAAGTGGGACGCAAAATGCAACCCCAATACCATCGCCTAAGGACACGTTTAACCAAGATGAGAAACCCACCATTACTAGCGATGATTCCCAGAATACATCTACTAATCAAGCAGCTGCTAAGCAAGATATGTTGGATCAAAGTAATAAGGAAGTGGGAAGTGGGACGCAGAATGCAACTCCAATACCTTCACCCAAGGACACGTTTAACCAAGATGAGAAACCCACCATTACTAGCGATGATTCCCAGAATACATCTACTAAGCAACCAGCTGCTAAGGAATATGTGGCGGATCAAATTAAGAAAGAAGTGAAAAGTGGAACTCAGAATAGACCTCAACCCCTGTTTAAAAACAGATATAACCAGGATGTCACGCCCACCATTTCTAGCGTCGATTATAACGCAGATTCCCCAAAAATATCGGCTCCGGAAACACACGCTTTTGAAGATGTGACCAAGGCCTCACGTCCTTATATCTGTGGAAGATGTTTGAACGACCAGAAACGTGGGGAACTTTTGGATCTTCGGATTGCAACAGCAAATGCTGACCAAATTGCAAACGAAAAGCTAAACAAACTTAAGATTCGTGCTTTAGAGCTAGAGATCGAAAACAAAGAGCTTGATCTACAGATGAAGAAAAAACCTTTATCAACTTAAAAACTTATAACCTGTTACAATCAATTTATTAATCAACTGTAAACACAATAGTTGATACAATAAGTGTATCAACATTTTTTATATAGATGTGCAATATTTATCTGGGTGATGGCAATAAACGTATAAAAATTAAAATGAAGAGTAGAGAGTTATCATACTGCATTGGTCAAAAGGTGGTTGTAAATAATTAAGCAGTCTTCAGTTGAATGTGCCATAATAAATCAGGCATAAAGTCGCCTGCCAAAATTCCGGCCGACTCAGCCCAGGCAGATTGTTCTATGCGCATGATTTCCCCAGTGGCTTTAATTAATTATTTAATTAAAGTCGAGAATGTCCGGCACAAGATATTAAACACCATACATGTGCACATCCCACATTCAAAACTTTAAAAATAATAACTTAACCTATCAAAATTTGTCAAAGTCATTGCAAATAAATGTATTGCGGTAATAATATCTACGAACCAAAAAAAAAGAAATTCTGCAATTGAGAGCAAAATCAGCTTTTTCCGAGGAAATTCGAAAGGTAGGCGTGTACCCAGACAACAATTTCCGCGTTTGCACAATTCCGGCGAGACGCTCCGCCATCGAATCGGATCTCCAGGTGACGGCGGCGTTCGGCGGTTACTAATCTCATCGTCACACCGTCGCCACCCCATCGGTGTTTCGTGGAAACCTAGTGCAAAGCATCCACTCCACGCTACGATCCAATAATGATGCAATCATCCGAGCAACACGCCCACTTCCATGCGATTTCCATCAGCATCAAGCCCCTAACTTATTGGTCCTAACACGACCCTAGCACAAACTACAGACAGAAATAAAAACAAATTTTCATTACGAAAAAAAGCCGTCTCTGACTTGACTTATCAAAAAACTTAAACAGAAGGCCACGAGAAACAAATGCAAAATAAATAAAACGAAACACTGTTCAGTTCAGTGTGGTTCGTCAGGTCAAAAGGGTCAAAAGACTGATTTCCTACCACTTTGAAGATGTCTGGAAGAGGCAAGGGAGGCAAGACGAGGGCGGTTTCAAAGTCGCGGTCTATTCGCGCCGGGCTGCAGTTCCCCGTGGGACGCATTCATCGTCTGCTGCGTAAGGGCAACTACGCGGAGCGCATTGGAGCCGGCGCACCTGTTTACCTTGCGGCGGTCATCGAGTACCTGACTGCTGAGATCCTCGAGCTGGCCGGCAACGCTGCCCGTGACAACAAGAAGACTCGTATCATTCCACGCCACCTTCTATTAGCAATCCGCAATGACGAAGAGCTAAGTAGTCTTATGTCATGTGTGACTATTGCTCAAGGTGGTGTCTTGCCCAATATCCAATCGATTCTACTACCGAAGAAGTCTGAACGGAAATCAACCAGCGAACAAATTTGAATAATGTGAGGTGTGAATTGATTTTCGTGTTTACTTTTGTTGTGAATAAAAGATTTGCACCCCTAGAGCGTGGGATAATCGCGAGTTGCGAGTTTAATTCGTTTTGTATGTTTGAATTCGTGTTTTTGTTTACGTCGTCGCGCTGCATGATTACCATTAGGTGTTATCTGTAAATTAATCGCTTTATATGTGCCTAATGTAAGCGCCAATTCTCTGGCGATAATAACAAGATAAACATCTTTAATTTCGGGCTTTCGTGTGAAGCACACGCCGTGCCCCCGCCTCGAATGCACGAATTGAGCGGAGTGGAATTGCGAATCACAATTGTAATCACAATCAACGATTTTTTTCTGTTCAGAAAAGAATTTAAACATTTTCGGTTTGATTGGTTATCGCAAATGACATTTTTTTGATTTTTCAATTGACGAGTAAATGTGAAACCGCAAATACGCATCCGCATCGCCCTCACCAAACGAGTTGATTAATGATTTAGACTGAAAGCCAAAGAACTTAAGCCCCGCCGGTGGTCGCAATGTTGGTGGTAGTGGTGGATCAAGGCGACCCTCCATATGTTCGGCGGGTGCAACGAGCAAACAAACACTGGGGGAATTACTAGTATCAAAGGTAATGGACTCGTCGAGTGTTTACGTCTGGATAATATATATTTTCGCTGTATTTGATGATAATGAAACAGGGAGCTTTTATAAGCATTTATGACGGGTCGAAATGACCCGCATTACTTCTCCCTCGCGAAGAGAAGTTAATGAAACTGTTGGAATTTACAAAGAGGCTAGGGACTAGACGAAACTGTTTTTGACATATTAAATATAAGTCGTCATGAATTATATATTGTCATTAAGTAATAATAGAAAAATATTAAGTATCAAGTGGCCAAACGAGAGTTTTAGCCATGTTTTTGTATTTGAACAATTTATTTGGGTTTAAACTGCTCCGTAAGAAAATGCGCAGATGCAAACCCCACCCCGTGACTAAAACCCGTGATTAAAGTACTTTAGTCATGACCTTGGCCGTTCGTCTTTAAAGTAACATTTTTTATATCTCAAAACCTTAGAAAATTGGTAGAAATAAAAACTATGTACATAATACACGTTGTAATCAAACATGTAAGAAGAAAATATTTATTTAAAAGTGTTGATTCAAATGGAATGTTCACGCGAGTTGATTAGCACTGTCAACGATAATATTTAGCCTGCGCGTAAAACACAATGAAGCCATGTCGGATGCTGAGGTAACGTGCGGATAACATCACGCTCGTTGAAAAAGCGAGCAAAGTGGCATGTGCGCGCGGTCGGTGGCACAAGAATAATATTTGCCCAACGTGATAGTTGCCATTCTCGCGGATAGTTTATTAAATTCGACAGGCATTTTACGTCGATGGCACATTTCACAAATTACGGCCACCAGTAAAAGCGCAATTGTTTTAGTGGTGTGCTTAATTGGCGTCGCCATAAATATCGCATTGAGTGTTTGTGTCCAAATGTGCGATTTTCGGCGCGTGTCTCCAAGCTGATATTAAACAAACCATTATTCTTCCTTAATACTTCATGCTCTCTACGACTGGCTTTTATCGCGCCGGGGGTTTTTACGATTGCGCGCAAAGAGAGAAAGCAGATGGCGAGTTTCACCAACCACCCGCCACCCCGGCTAGGTAATAACGTACTTCTACCTTTCATCCGATTTATTTCTTTGCTCTTCGCGGATGCAGTTTGAAAAACGCCCGAAAGCACTTTAACACGCGCTCGCGATTATTTCCCGCAAAGTTTACAACAGTGAATTGATTTAAAATATCGCAGATAAAGTTCACTCTTGTACGAAAAAATAAGATTTCTCCAAATCGAATATATCAAGATGAATCAGTATATTTAACATTTAAATTGTTTCAATACGAAATTGCCTCGTGCCGACGTTGAAGACGCGGGGAATTGAAGCGCACGAGGTATTTTCTAGTTATTTCAATGCCTCCCATGGGTAATCACATCATTATTCGCTTCAGTTTAATTCAAACCGAAAGTTCAATAAATACACCAAGGTGCTAACTGATATCAACTGTCGAAAATGCGACGCAACACGCCTCCACTCAAATAGTCGCAACAAATGCGCCACAGCGCGCCAGGAAAATCGAGCTAATTAAGAACGTAAATCGACCGGTCATTAGCGTCACGAACAACAAATAGCAAACAACCCCGAACGTCGAAAATCAACTCAACAACTAATACTACACATATATCTACCGGGTTTCTCGGTGAGGCAAAACCACGCGAGCATTTATCATGAAAAATGATAAACAACGTTGATTTTGTTTTTAAACTGGCGCTGTGTCAATATTCTATGAGAAAAGCACAAACTAATGAAATTTATTTTGTTTAGCCGGAGGGAAAGAACTGTGGTGTTGTAATTGAGTTGTGTCGACATACTTTGCGGATTTACTTGAGAGTTTATTTACTGAGTGCTGAGTTTGGAAAGACGACACTTTAAATATACAATGTAACAAAATGGAAAGGTTTAGAAACTTGCGCTTAGTGTAAGAGAGTTTTCATTAAATTGTTCCGCGAACAATGGCACTTTTGAGTTTACTCACGTTTTCATTAAATTTATTGTTATTTTCAGCCGAGCTCACCTCAGAGAAGCAATCTGGGCGTGTTTGGGAGATAACGGATTGAATATAAAAATTGACATTTTAAACGTGCAAAAATCGCTCCGGAAGCGTGAATTAATGTGTCGGAGCGAAATTAATCCAATAAGCAGTAAAAACATTTACGCTCCCGATTCACCGCCGCCTTGCTTGTGTGTTTGGCAGACGGGGCGGAATTCATTTTCAATTCGCGGTCCGCATTGACGGACGCGTTAAATAATGGATGATATTGCGACTGTGGGCGCGCCACGTGACCAAATCCGCGCCGTCGACTTGGAAGCCACGCGCTGGTTTGAATACAATTTCGACGGCGGTTGCGAAAAGGATTTGCCGGCGCGTTGTTTGCCCCGCAATCCCTTTTCGGACAACGTGCCGGATTACTGCCTAAATACTCCACGTCGGACCCAAGAATAAGATACTAAATTATATTCCTGAGTCAGGACGAGACGGCGTTTCTTTATCCATTATGAACTTTGTTTAAAACCCATTTACCTTTCACCGACATCCACAAATTGATTAATTCTATTGATTTTCTTCGACGAAATAAACATTTCGTTATTATTTCATTAAATTGCAACGAGTTATAATGTGCCAGTAAACTCGAGTGGTGGAGGCGCCGGGCAAGCCACTTAAATCGATGACATATCGAATGCTTACGCAGTCGCTGTCAACCGCAGCCAGAACTAGTTTTTATTGACTCAAGTGGCGATTTGTTTTCGTAATGTCAACGCGTCTAATTTTATTTGAAAATGTTAAATCGTTAAAAGCATCCGCGCGTGTTAAATATTCATGTCTTTCTTTTGCATTTCTAATTTAATCTTGCAGTGAAAAATGTAAGTGATGTCTGACGTATTTAATATGCAGCTTTTTAATGGAATATATTAAATTCATGCTGGAACGACATCAATATTTGATCCATAATCGCATGACAAACTTTCGTTAAGAGCTCCTCATCGGTGCGCCGAATCAACATATCAACTTGTAGCAGACTTGGTGCACTTTTGGGCGGCATACGAAATAAAAATAAATAAAAGCAGGAACATGCAATAAAAGTCGTACATCGGACGGATGGGGAGCGATGCGGAGATTTACGCACGAGCCGTTATTAAAATTTATTACACAAAGTACACGCTATCTTTAGAAAAGCGCCCGGGAGGTCGACACATTTGATTATCGCGACGATGTTGCGCGCTACACGCGCGCATAAATCAAGATTTATGTTGGATGTACCGCGTATTATTATGAGCGAATAGTCTTCGACGTCGCAAGTCAACGCGCAGTAAATTACAAATATCTCTCTTAGCTTACCTACGGCGCAAAGGTTGTGGTGGAGGCGCCGCGAGACAAAAAAAAGCAATTTATTATCGACAGCCGAACTAATTCCGGCAAATTACTCCCCAATAACGAACAATATCGAATGTTGTTTATTTCGCCCGCGCTTGATTTACGTACGACGCCTTCCAGCCGCATCCCTTTAATAAATTGTTCCTTTCATTTTTACCCCGTCGGCGTCCAACGCGCGCCGCTGATGAAAGAAAGTAGCTATGAGTGTTTTTCCAATTAAAGCTCGTTTTTATATTTAGACGTGGGAGGAACGCGCGCGCGCGCGCGCCACGGACAATGCGGCGTAAGATATTAATTTGCATTTAGATTGCTTATCGTTTTTTACATCTCGTTTTACGCTCGCAATCTCTAAAACGGGAAGTGCTTTTCCTAATACTTATAATTAAAGTAAAGTTATCGTGTGGCGCGCTCGCTTAAATATTTAGCAAAAGGGAGAAAAAATTGCGCACAACTTTTAATTAACACACTAACCGAATTCAGAATTTTGATTACAAATCATCAAAAACCAGGTGACAGGGACAAAATATTGTGTTTATCTGTGAGTAAAGTTTAAATTTACAGCGCATAGTTTAGCACTGACATGCAATTTTCTACTCAATCAAGTGTCATTGCCATCATATTCAAAAACTTTCATCCGGCTGTGAGTTGTGTGAGGGAGTGGCGTTTAACTTTTCGATGGGGGAGGCTTACTCGCGCGCCCCGCCGGGAGCAAATATTTTAATGAAACACGAAGCCCATTATGTAGCATCTTTTAATATTGAAATAGTTTGCAACTTTTGCGCGTTACATTCCGCACGCCACCAGCGGTTTATTTTTTGCGCGCGCAGGTGTCTATACTGGCCCAGTTCCACTCGAGTTGGAAAGGGTGGCTACCCTTTAAATAAAAAATTAGTTTCTCACCTTGTTTTTATCGCCGCTGGGAGCGCCTGTGGCGGACGCCGGAAAATTGTCCGGAAAGGTGGTATAAACTACTTTAATGCCTCCCAGCGGCCTGCAAATGTAATTTTTGATCTTAATTCAATTAAATATTTATTTTTATAATGATCGGATGGTAACTGCCGCATTTAACGCAACAAACATCACGATATTTATATATTTTTGAATAAATATATAATACGTATCAATTGTTGGAAGTGCTAAAAATTGCATAATGGCTCATGACAGATTTCTGAGAAGACATTTAATGGAATGAATATTTAAAATGCGCGCGGAAAGTTTGCCAACACGCGCACATGAATATTTCATAAGAATGTTCGTCAAAAATGTTGAGGGGGATTTATATAGTTTTCCACTTGATCCGGTAAACCAAGCAGTTTTCGGCTGCAGAAAAAAAATAAATTTCGCCGGCGTGACTTGGCGCACTTTTACATATTTCGAGGCCATGTGCGAAAACTTTACGCCGCGCCGCCAATAATATACAAAAAAAAAATTTAAATTATGTCAAAGTTCTTAACCCTGGTTGAAAATACTTTAAACACTGCTTCAGTCGAAAGTTCCTACACATAAATCTATTATATGCGAGCGAAATACGGAATATTATTATATGGTTATCGCAAACAATAGAATGTTTGTTAATAGAGTCGAATGAACTTCAAACAATTACTGCGATTTAATTATCGTGCATATTGTGTGTTTTATTGCTTCGTTGGTAATCAAAATTACGCTCGCATCATGAAATAAGTCAAAATCGAAGAAGCAACGTGCAAGTAATAATCCAGCAACCATCTGAATAACTGCAGTATCGATAGTCTGGCATCATTTTAACAACTGTGCATCTCCGTCTTTGTCGTAGCTCAAAACTAAGATCGCTGCAGTGGCGGCGGCGGTACAGCATCGGATGGGTGCGCACATGTTGGAATGCATAACAATCTCGTAATTAATTAAATTCCAAGCCCGGGCTTTGAATTTGAATATCAAAGCTGTAATGAAAATATACATAAATGCCAATTTTCCCCGCGGCCCCGTTACGGGCCATAGCAGGCCCCTAATTAACAATAACACGCTGAATTATTATTCGTAGAATACGCCCGAATACTCTGCTTGCGCATAACAAGATCGCGCACTTCCGTTACGCTGCATCACTGATTACATTATGCCGCCCTGCAGTCAACGAAGCTAATGCACTAAAGACAATGATTTTGTCCTGCTTAACCTGACAATTCCCACCACAATACGCCAACAAATAACATTTTAACGTGTAACGCGCGATATTTAAACGTATTTGAAGAACAAACGGGCTTTATCTGCGGGTCCATAAAGGCGATTGCGATGCAATTTGAATATTTAATAACGAGAAACAAGGGTTATTATTGCTGCCTCCTCGGAAGCGGGTCGCGCAAACGTGAACATGTTAAGTGCTCGACGTACACGAATAGTTGTGGGGCGCACGACAATAAATCACAACACCGTTCGTATAATATGCGCATAATGCATTTATATGTACTTTTGAATAATGACCGGGGTCTTGGTATGCGGGCGCGTGCACCCTCCGCGCTCCGTGTTTCTAAATTGGCCTGGCGTGCCTTCCGCGCGAAAAAAACGACAAAGTTTTTCACAAAGCTGTTGAACGGCTCTTCATTTTATTTTTGAATTCATTAAAACTTTGAAGAATATACATTATACATTGCTACTTTCTACTTACGCCTCATGTTGAGCACGCCAACGATACGCGAAGGGGAATGATGCATTTTATTTTATTTCAAAATCAATACATTTTCACTTAGATGTTTTACGTTTTTATAATGTTTTGTGTTTAATTGGGGAGGAGTTGATGCAGTTGTGTGTGTAATAAACATTTTTGGGATAAAACCAAAACCTCTTGAAGCCGTTGTAATCCCAACATCTGCAGTGCGCACGATCACATTACCTTTGTTGCTATTTCCGCGCGGCGTGCAATAATCCAAATCCAGACCCTTTTCCGACGGCGTGCAGACTCACTCCTGACCACCGCCAACTTCCGGGTTTGCTGCCGCCGCCGCCGCCGTCTCGACCCTTAAAGTGGCTTACTATTACCTTTCGCGTTCCAAGTTGCTCGCCGTCTCACGTTAAGTGTCGGTCCCTTAACAATAACAGCGTGCGGCCCCGGCCAAGAGTCGGGAAGAACGACAAGTGATTATGAAGTTTACAGCCAACTTTGTGCTCCACTGACGAACTTATCATATTAAACATGAATTACGGTAACCTCTTCTGGCCGCCTGCGTTGGCTAATGCTCGCTCCTAGTTTTCCCGCCTCTTGCATGCATGTGCTCCACGCGCGAAGTGCGTGCTAAGTGCCACCACCGCCGCCGCCGCCGCCGCCGCTGTGGAGAGATAGTTAATTCGGGAACTAAGTCCGTTGTTTCCCGACTTTTCCCGTGCGCCGTGCTTCACGCTGTAAACCACTCGAATTAATCCGTGCGCGGATATCGACTACCACACACCACGGAAACCCTTTTGAATAATCAAAGTTTCATCCAGGAAAATATTCCTGATAATAAATTTTAGGTTGTTTTATTGTTATTATAGGTGATAATTCAACGTGACGCGCGGGTGTAAAATTCACACTCCTCTTTAAATCCGAAAAATGACGTTAAAATGGCCGAAAGCGACGTGTAAAGTGTTAGTCGGCGGAAAAAATGTATTCGCCCTGGATCCCTGCCGCCATTTGATAAAATTACGAAACGAGGCAAATATGGGCCGACGCGTAATACACGGAAAACAGGATAGAGAGTTATTGCGTTTGTCGTTTATAAATACCTCCGATGCCATATATCATTGTTAGCGGCAATAAATACAGATGTAAATTGTCATGGACGTCATGCGCCGCGATATTCGAGTACGCAAAATCGCACCATCCTCACACCCCCAGCCGCGCAGCCGGCGGCGGCGCGAGTATAACGTCCTCCGCAATTCACTTCCGATATTAGCGACACACGTTTAACGATCTGGAACCGCATGTTTAATAATACACAGCGATGATAATTGTTCTCGGCCGATGCTCGTGTTAACAACAGATCATCATCATCATCATTGGGCATTTGGACAACATTTGTAATGAAGCAGCAAAATTGAAAACAATGCGTGTCAAAAACTCGCGTAAATATTTCAACTAATAAATCAACTATTCAATGGAATTATAATCAACACGTCAAAGCAACGCCTATTGACATATCGTGTCTAATTATCTGATGATTACGATTAAAAGAAAAACCTTGATCAATAACAATGTGGAATATCTTCCAGCATCACGTAAACAATTCGCTGAAAGTGTCTATGGGATATATCCGCCCGATAGTGATGATGAAAGTGAAAAATCTTATGAACCTCCGTTTGGTACCGAAGGATTCTTTGCAAGTATTGTGTTTTTATCCTTCGAGCAACGTGGTGCTTGATGGTAGCCATTACAACCACTTTTATCTATACTCTACTCTCCTACCGGGTAACCTAACCTTAAATAACCTTAAAATTAGTTTTATAACCAACCAAATTTGTAGGAATTTTTTGATGAAAATGTAATTATCGGCAAGTCATTTGTGAAGTTAGTATGCTTTATCGCATATTTCATCAATTTAATTGACATCATTTCATCAATGCTTCACTTTTTCTCTTCGACGTTACGAGACATGGAAGTATACACCCGCAAACACTTTAGTAAGCCATTGTAAGTCCCCGCGTATAATTTAATAATTAATGCGCGCTTCAGTGCTAATCATCATCGACTTTTTGTCAATTGCCGCCACCATTATGGACTTCGGGATGTTTTTGTGGCCTGGCAACGGAGTGAACACAAAAATCGTGCTCGCTTTCGTCACTCTACGAGAATATCGCCTGTTTCAGTATTTTCGCACCGTCACACGGAACCCACTATGGCAGGGCCGTATGCACGTCCTGCTCAAATATCTTCTGCTGACGTTCGTGCTCAATCACAGCGCCGCATGCGTTTGGAAATTGATTGCGTGTTTTGTAAGTTGCATACGTTATAACTAAACATAACCATGTTTACTGGTGAAGGTAAGTCGTTGAGTACAGCCACCGGACATTGTTTAATCCGTGGATACATTGACTTCCGATATACGCACCACGCTCTCCGGGAGTGGTATTAATAATTTCCGACGCTGGAGTAGACGTGCTTCACAGTTGAGGCAGGTAAGTGCTTTAATCAGCCCCAAATGCAAACACTCGACGAGGCCCACAGATGCCCGAGTGCAGTCGGTTATGCAGGCTAATTGCGTTATGACATAAGATACGAGACGTTTCATGTTTCTACCATCGCTAATGATCCACAGATGCGTGAAAATCGGTCACTTCAATTTTTAAACTCCATTGTTTCCCCAGTGCTTACATAATGACCTATTTTAAGGGTTGTAACGATAGCGTCGGCCATTGGAATGATAAAGTCGACGTAAACACCGAACCAATTTCCTTGTACATAATATGCATGTTTAATGCTTTGGATTCTACAACAAAAATGGGGTAAAAGGAGAAATTTACCTTCAATAATAATAATTAAAGATAAATATTTCATCAACGACTTATCTTAGGTTGGTCGGTGGGTCTCCACGAAATAATCTTGAGTTTTTTCTTACGTTAGTCCTGATGTTTTATGGAATGTTAATAAACACTGGTGTATTTTTGGGAGCTTTCACCGAAGTCCAAATTAACGCTAACAGACGCAGAGCTGTGTACCAAACAAAATTACGATTAATACAAGAAGAACTCGTGAGTTCATCTTCATCAAAATAAAAATAAAGGCTACATCATTCAAAATACATTGCAGGACAATAGATTGATATCAAAAGAACTCCGAGAAACCGCAAATATTTGGTACGTGAATTTTTGGATAAAGGAACACGCCGTGATCAGATGCTCGCTGGTCCACAACTTGCCAGATAATTTCATCCGTGATATCAAGTTGGATAAATATTTCAACGCGTTGAATCGCAATCATTATTTGAAAAACCTCCACAACGAAGTGAAAATCGCCCTGGCGTTGAAAATGTACACGCTGCACTACAACCAAGGCGATGTAATCCTCAAACAGAACGAGTCGCTGCTAGGGATGATCTACATCGCCAAGGGCGTCGTACAGCTGGTGTCCCCCGACGACATTGAAAGCCCCATCATCATGTTCGAATATGGCACTTCGATCGGCAGCACGTCGATGCTCAACCCTATCCCGATGCCCTCGCAGGTAATCCAACCCTCTGCGATCATAAGCCGCGACCCTTTCTACCCTTGGCACTCAACCGCCTCTGCTGTGTGTTTTGTTTTCCAGCTGGTGGCTACCACTTATTGCCACATCCACAAGTTGGATACAGTTGATTTTTGGAGCACCCTTGCGCAATGCTACAAGCTGAAACCATCACGGCCGATATTCGAGACAAATAAAGTAAATAAACGCTAAAATTATTATCTATAAATATAATTTCCGGCCTTGGATAATGTTACAGTTTATAATGAACAATGCACGGCGGAAGCATCGCGAGAAACTCAGCTCGAGGCGAGTTTTTCCACCACGTCGCGTTTCACGGCGTTCAAAAACTTCTTTAATTAAAGTTTTTTTACAGGCGCAAGAAGCGAGTCGACAAAACTCTGAAACTAGTCAAAGATATCCTTAAGAAAAAGGGTAGGTGTGAAGTTACCGGCAAGTTATCCGAGAATAATCTACTTGAAGTTTATCAAATTAGCAAAGTACTCAAAGCATTTTTTTACCTTTTCAAATAACCTACTTAACCATATAAAATCATGTTTAGGGTTTGGATGTGATCACGCACAAGGACGGCACATTTCTATCATATAAATTCCCTTGGATCCTCTACGAGAATTGTCACTTTTGTGTGGTGTGGGACTACATCGTGTTTATCATCGCCACAGCAGTGATATTAACCTATCCCTACTTCCTCTTTTACCTGTCAAGCCCGCCGTCGGTCTACTATCACTTCTTTCGCCCCGTGGCGTACACGGCTTTCGTGGTTGATATCATAATTCAATTGTGCACTTCCATGCTGGATGAGCACCAACAGCGTGAGTAAACTACCTTTGCTCCAGACGTGGCAAAGCCGAGTTTTTCACGCGGTACTAACAAGAGTAACAAGCATTGTCAATCGGCGCTGTGAGGGCTTCGACGTTTTGCGAAATAACGAAGGCAAAGCCGGATTGACATTACTCGTTCGAGTTGGTAAACTCGTGAGCCGCTTTTCTACGACTTAGGAACTAAAAACAGCATCATTTGCATGTTTACTATTTCCTGCCTTTTTTAATGATAGTAATTACGACCATCTCGGAGCTTATATCCTATCGCTTCGGAAAGCTGATGTTCCTCATCGACGTGCTAAGCATCACGCCCATCGAATTCATCAGCGCGATGAAGGGTGCCAATCTGACGGAACAGATGGCTTACATCGAATGTAATCACATGCTGAAAGTTTTCCGAGTGCGTTCGCATTCTCATCCCCGGCGACAATTTCGTCAATTATTTGCCTTTCCTGTTTTAGGTGTTCAGCAAGTTGGTGAACATAACGCAGAGTTTGCATGGAAAGGCCAGTCGCATCGTGTTCTACGTCATTTGCCTCCTCTACTTCGGATATTTGCAGGGGATTATTTACTTTAAAACTGCATGCCCTCAAAGGTCTCACATCAGGACCTATCCTAACCTATCCCACATCGGTTAAATTTTGATTTTTGTGTTATTTTCAGGCCGTGTGGGTCTGATACGTGGATCAACATTCACCTTGACTACGTAGCACAGCATTTGGGTGTGATGCGAGACTCTAGCGATTACGTGCTGCTGGTTGCCATCTACGATGGCATGATGTTGCTGACGGGCGCCGCGGGCGTTTTGATCTCTGACTCAATTCGCGAGAAAACCGTCCTTGTCCTTTTCTGCATCAGCTATATGTACCTCTTCACTTATCTCCTTGCGGATTATTCAGCCACACTCACTTTAGATGGATATCTCCGGTATTTTTCTTCTTCTTCTTCAATATTTACTCCAAACTAAAATCAAAATTTCATCAGGAATCATTTCCAACTAAAAGTCAATAATCTACGGAATTTTATGATCGGTGCCAACATGGATAAGGCCATAGTATATAGATTAAACATCTACATGGAGACTATTTACAGTCTGTCCAATGGTTATGTCCTACCTCAGTTTCTGGACGACCTTCCCGTTGTCTTCAGGCAAAAGATAAATGTCGAGAAGACATTCCCGTTTGTTCATAGGTTGCCTTTGTTTGAGGTGCGGTATAAATTTCAATAAGGATTAAACGAGTAAACTTTGATGTCTAATCTCGTTACAGAAGTTTTCACAGGCAGCAATACTTCGCCTGCTCGGCAAGGTGAAATATGAAACTTATCCAGCTAACGAGTACGTTGCGTACGGCGGCGATCGTTGTTACAACATGTACGTCATTCAGCAGGGATATTGTGAGGTAATATCAATGATGAGAAAAATGCTAAATATAGTTGAAAGGACAGGTATTGTACCTACGCTGTGGAAGCAAGTTACTTACTTAAATTCAACATCAAATATAACTTGAAGTTTAAAGTTGTGCGCGTTTGCACACGGCTTTCCACTCAAACGCTGTTAGAATCACTGTTTGGCAAATGCGGAAGGCGGCTCTTCTGTGCGCGCCCGGATGTGTATCAAACTGTTTGAGTAGGAAACTAACGGGATGCGAGCGTTTGCCAGGCGCTCCGCTTTGCGACAGCAACACAACAAGCAAGTCTGCGCAACAATCATATCTTATCAAATTTTAATGGGAGATATTCACGAGCACGCAGTCATGGCAACGCGCGGCATTTGCTCTCGTGCTACCGCACATGCACCGGTTACTTATCGACGTAAATTACCACCAAACGCATCCACGACTCCGGTCGGACACGTGCTCATTAAACGCAGTCTGCCGGAGCGCGAAGCGCAAACGCCTTCCGGTCGCCTTCGAAGATCCGCGATGATGACCGCGAATTTGTAACCGAGGAGCGCTTGCATTGCAATGCATATTTGCACACGGGGGGCGGTTGACAACCTGAGTGCAAACATATGCTGAATAAACACAGACTGCTGCTGTCTTGTTGCCTTAGCAGCAAACATTGCACACTACCCCAAGGAATCGGTTAATTCAATTTGTGATGGTAAAATCAAAACTTGTTTTCAGCTCATCCGAATTGGTCTGCGGATTAAAACAATGATTGGACCCAATCAAAATGCAGGCTTTTATGAGATGATTCTAAGTAATCATTTTTTCTAAAAAAAACAAAAAAATTAAAAAATATTTTGCAGTGTTGCCACTTCTCCACGATATAAAAACCGTCACCAACGTGAAATTATTCTACCTCAACATCAACGACATCAAACAGGAATTTCAAGCCGATGAATCATTAAAGATAAATTTCGAAAAAGTTATCGCCGAAACAAGAGCATCAATGGTAATCATGCGAGCTTTCCATATACAACAAGACAACGCATATAGAGATCCCGTCATAACCAACATCAACCAACCGACATTCATCAGCTTCAAAGGTGGCAAACTCGATCCCAAAACACTGGATCTCCATAAAGGTTGGCAGGGATACTCAATGATCAGTTTCCTCATGCTGCGGAAAACTTTGCGACCAGATTCAAGATTAATTTACGTCTACGTACAGTTTCACGCATTCGTGGCGTTCATGTCGGCCATTTTGTATCCGTCGCTCTTTATCCTCGAGTGTATCGTGCCGTGGTACGGCGTGCTGCTGCTGTCGATTCCTTGGGACCTGCTGTGTTTGATTGACGTGTGCGTATGAACTCTGGAGCGACTGGAATGACATCAAACATGGAAATTAATGCTGTTTGTGACATTCATTGCAGGTATCTGCGGCTGCACGTGTGCTACTATAATTCAAGTGGACTTTTAGTTTGGCATCCGCGGTACACGGCCGTCTACTATCTGAAACACAGCTTTGCGGTGGACTTTTTCACCGCACTGCCGGTGAAGCTCGTCCTCGATTGTGTGATGTCGAAAAAAGAGGCCGCGTTCATCGTGCTGCTGAAAGTTATCCGTGCGTATCGCATTACGAACGGATTCGCGTATTTTCGACGTGACATTTTGAAAAAGCCACCCACATATTTGTAAACCACTCACACGTTGCACATACGATGTACATTTGTGACTCTATATACGTTTACAGGCTGATTTTGAACTATTTAACCATATCGCTGGTGTTTTGGAACACGCTGACGCTGATTCTAGTGCTAATTTCCGTTGACCTGACCAACAATCAATATGGACAGCCTGAAATACACCCGCAGAACACGAGCTGGTTTTACACCAAAGTCAATTCCGAAATAAGTACTCCTAAACTCGTAATAGCAATAATTTCGAAACTCATTATTTCAATGCTTCATGTGTGTTGACAGCTTTTGATCCCGGCGAGTACGTACCACCGCTGAAGATTTACCTGCTCGCACTCTATTGCATCACGTGCTTTTCGCTGCAAATCACCCTCGCCGACGTTGTTATGATACGCCGCGTCGAATTGCTGTACATAATCCTAACGATAATTTCCGGCTACATCTGGTTCACGTACATACTGGTAATCATTGCCAATACGAAAGCACTTTACAACGACAATCTCACCAAATACAAGGACAATTTAAATGATTTATGCAAGTTTATGAAAGAACAACATGTTCCCAAGCATGTTAAAGGGTACAAAGCATTTTTCCTCCTTTTTATAAACGTAAATTATTAGGTTTTTAAATATTCAAGGCGTAATATAAGACATTTCGAATACATCTATCAAAGAAACCAAGGTTATGGCGATAAAGAAATGTGTGACGAATTTCATCCGACGTTAAAGAAAGATTTTCTCTGGGAATTGTACGCGTCAACATTATATAGCGTGCCAATCTTCCACGGGCTGGATTTAACGTTTTTTCAACAGCTATGCGCGGAAATACGCACTGTTTACTACTTGGAAAATAACACTATTGTCAGCGTCAACGATGTAACTAACTGGGTGTATATTATTTCTCGGGGTGCTGTTCAAGTTTCCAGCGCTGCGGGATCACCATTAGTTGTGCTCACAAAGGGCTCGTAAGAATAACAAAAAAATTCTTTTTAAAAATGTAAATATTCAATATTCATTTTAGTATTTTCGGAAATCTGGATAATGTGGAGTATTCAAGAAGTATGTTCAATTATACAACCATCACAACATCCGATATTTTGTGTATTCAAACCACAGAACTTTATAATATCCTTAAAGAGAATCCTACAGCCATGTATTCATTGAAAAATGAGTTGTATCTCAAAAACTTTGTAAGTTTTACTTCTCTAATAGTATATTAATTATCAAGTGGCTAAACGGGGACTTTACTCACGATTTAAAACAAACGTATAAGCAATCAAGTGTTTAATAACGTTTAGCCACGTGATGTTTATGCTATTTTTTTTTACTACAACTTTAGTTCAACTTGAGGTTTTTGTATTTCAAAAATTTTCATCAAAATTTGCTCGCACACTATTACAATATGTAAGGTTGTAAATACCAAACCAATCTCCGTAGATAAATGCGCAGGCGCAAGCTCCGCCTCGTAAATAATGCCAGTAGATAATGAATTTTACTCACGGCTTGGCTGTCCGTATAAAAATTACCACTTTTTGTATTTAAAAACCGTGGAAAACTGTCACTGAAGTAGAAAAAATATTTTTTTAAATAATTTCATGTTTTATTATATTTTTAGTATTATCTCGAATCTGATGAACGGTATAACTCTATCGAAACAAAGTAAGTATAAAATACAACCTGAAATATCACATATTTAAAACTGTGGGTTGTTGCAGAACAAAAAACCTATCGACTTGGTATAAATATTTAATGTCGACCTGGCTCAAATTCATCTTCATGATTGTCTCCTTCCTGTCGTATCAACTAGCCCTCTATCACGTGGCATTCCAAAGGCATACAATCTCCCTCTACACAGTTTCCTACATTTTGGATTTTCTGCACGTCGTAAAAATTTATTTAATTTTTCGAACGCCGTTTATGAACGATGTGGGGGAACTCGTTGTGAAACGCAAACGTTTGTTGCGCGGGCCAATCTATATTGACTTTTTCGCGTTAATTCCATTCGAAATATTTGCGCTGGCATGCCCCCAGGGTGTCCTATCGCTTAATTTTTACATTTCCATCTTTCGATTGAATCGCGTGATGAGATTCGTAAGTAACTTTTGTGTTTTTTATGTTTTTATAGTAATTATGTTTGATCTTTTGATTTAGTTAAATATAAAATGGTCAATGACAGCCACCCATGACTATCTCTTCATCAACGCTATATTCCTCAAAGTGGTATCGCTGTTTATTTACTCTACGACCTATTTACACCTGCTGGCTTGCGTGTGGTATATGGCCGCGTGTCCGATGCACGTATGCAGCCGAGGGAGTTGGTTGTACGATAAATACACGAATCAATCTAACTGCAAGACGGATTACCTCTGCGCTTTGTATTTCGTCACTTCTCTGGTGAGCTCGGCGGGTTTTTCAACGTTTGTACCCGCAGAATACTCGAAATCATTTTTTGTACGATAACAGTAGTACTGAGTAAGTTTGTCACCACTTTACTAGTGGCAAACATGGCGGCGCTTGTCCGCCATTTTGGATATCGCCTACAAAAGTACACAGAACGCGTGAATAATCTAAAAATTCACTTGAAGAACGGACAAGTTTCTCCGTATTTAACGCAGAATATTCTCAAATACATCGCGAGGGTCTGGCTGAAAAGTTACGGAAAACAAATGCCAAAGTTTTTGGAAACTGGCCCTACACTTCTAATTGAAGAGATAAAGATATACGCGTTTGGGTCGCACATATTCGGCGTGAGTTTAGCATTATAATCGTAGCGTTCGAGCGTGTTGGTACTAATTTGATGGCGTTGATTTAGAACCCGGTGTTTCGTGATTGCCACAATGACTTTCTACGTTTGCTGACGACGCACACGAAATTAGTCCGGCACTTCATGGGCGACGTGATTTGTAATCAGGGCGAAATTAATGACACAATGTATTTCATTCATTGGGGACAAGTCGAGGTGCTGTGCATCAGCGACAAACTCGAGATGCAAGTGGATCTCCTCGGACAACTCGACTGCTTCGGAATGGTGCGACTAGCAGCGTCAGTTTAATTACATTTTAATCGTCAAATTTTACAGATTCAAGGATTATTCCCCGACACACCGCATTCGCATCAATATAAAGCAATGAGCAATGCGGAGATTGTAACACTCCGACTCACAGACTGGATGCAAATTCTCGCCTTTTTTCCAGCTGCAAAGTTTCACATTTATCGTACTATTCGCGACCATCGAGCGCTGCGCGTACACATTCACAATCCAGTAACGAATTAAAATCACCGCTTAATCATCCGACCTTGCTCGCAAGTCGTCACCTTAATGCCCTGTTTCCGCACAAACGCGCCGTAAATTTCGTGCTTTTGTTTTTAATAAAAATTAATTAACAATGTGGCCACACACATGCAATATATGCGCGCGGCGCGGGCGCGTTTAATATAAAAATTTAATATTTCCAACGAGCGCATTGCAGTTATGGAACTTACTTTACATAAAATAACAATAACACGAACTAGGAGCGCACTCGCTCATATTTGATCTATGTTTTGCACGACACACCGCAACAATGGCAACGCCGCACACACTACACCCCCGCGCATGTAAATATGGCGCGCGTTTTTGCAAATTAAACGAACACGTTCGTTTTGTTTGTTGTTTCACGCTACGGATGCGCCTGAATCTAGTGCGAACACCACAATACTATCATTCCGCTTATTCAATTCCATCACATTGTGTTGGGTGACGTGTGCAACAGGCCAGTTGCTTTTAATTGTTTTATCATGAAATTATTTTTTCCTATTTTGCGGCTATCATTTTTGGCACATCAAAGAATCATAATGTAATTAAACACAATTAATACCTCATTATAATGAAAAATAAATGAATATTTACTTTGTGCATTAATTCGCGCGTGTAATAAATATTTAATTAAAAATATTTGCCAAATTTTTTTCATTAATTAAAACAAAATCAATATTTGAGTCGTGATAGATTATTCCGATGCAAGCAAATACCTAAAACATGCCATCCGTGATTGTGTTATCGGTGGAAAATAATTTTCGATTGGTTATGACGCGTATTAGTTTCCTGTCAAACAATGGCAGATAAGATCGAGGTAATCCGTAATCCAGCGCAGGCAACATCCTCGAAAACGTCGCAAAGAGGTCGATAATTCAAATGAGTCGCAAGTCAATGCAAAGCCTCGGTTTGAATTGATGACAAATATGATTGCCGCACAATGCAGCGCTGCACGCTCACCACCACCGCCGCCGTCGCCGCCGCCAAAGGCTAAAGCGGCAACCAGCGCATAAATTACGTGTATGATTGAAATTGTTGTTCCGGTACTCTTTCAATTACGTGTCAAAAGAATCCACAACACACGATGCACCTGCTTTTACCACAACTTTAACTGAAAGAAAATTTCGCAGTCTTGTAATGAATTGCTGCTTTGAGACATTTTTCAATCACCGGGCAACAACATTTTCCTTTGTAGATACAATCAGACCAGCGGAAAATTCATTAAATATTATTTCCAGACTTCGTTGAAAGAAAATTAATTTTTCCATCAAAAAACTTTTCAAAGACTAATAAAATCCGAGTATAATAAAGTCGGCAACAAGTGAAAAAATGATTGGTTATGATGATTTCAATAAAATTGATTTCGCCAATAAAACAAATTTGATTGTTGAGCTGAGTACATGCGCGCAGGGATGAAAACGCAAAGAGCGTCGCGGCGCATGAGTTCGCCCCCGAATCGACGCCGTGTGTACGCCCGCAGTGCGAGCGCATTCAGTCAGTCTCACCCGGCGCGTCGTCGAAGGGTGACCTCTCTGCAACACGCGCCCTGTGCCGCAAAGGGGTGGCTATCGCGACTCTCGCGCGCAGCTTAAATATTTAAACAACTTATAACAACTCCGCACACAAACAGCAATTAATCCTAATGCCATTCATTAGTGACACGCTTCTTCTACTTTTCATTCGTTTTAATTGTTTAAACAAAAATATAAACAAATAACTTCAGTGTGAAATAATTTGATCAACTATTAAAGCGCATATAAACTGTCACCGGCGGCAATTTCGATAATTGATTTTAAAGTTTAATTTATTTTGTGCAATCACTACTGTCAAAGCGTCACCGGGATAAATTTGAACGCATATTGTGCAATGCCAGGGACAAAAACGCTGCTCGGTTTAATTTCACTTAGTGCCGACTTTGACAAGCGAGCTGGGAAACATTAAACGCTCATTAAATAAAATCTCCGAATTTGAATTTTAAATAAATGGTGATTACAATGCAATAAACGCGAGTCAAAAACGTGTGCGCATAATTCATTTGGGGATTACACGGATTAACACCGATAAAATATTAATTCGCTGCTTAATTGAAGCAATCGTAAGTATATTTTAAGTAAAATTACAACTCAATGAATTGAAAACTGTAAAGATCACATTTTCAACGGGATAAGCTTTCAGTGAAGCCCTGATAATAGCTTTGAAATTGATCACCAAAGGCGTCGCTTTCAAAGAGCGTGTGAAAGATTTCGCCGAAGGAATGCGGGACGGGCGCTGGTCTCGGATGGCGTTAATCACGCGGCTGGATATTGCGTTAGCTTTGTTTTTCTTATATATTGGTGGATGCGCCGGGCGAAAAGGTGCAAGCAACTTGACCGCAAACATTCCTTCCGGCACCCTTTGGAAAAGGTCAGAGAAAACCACCGGCGAAAGGTATATGAGCCGCCTTGGTATAATTTAAATTACACCCTTGGCGAATTTTACGCCCGAGCGTTGATGCTTGTAAGAAAATTATTACCCCGAGCATTATTTGCCGGCTAAGGGCTATAATAGAGAATGTTTTCGTTGGTTTAGTGGGCGTGACCCGGATCGCACTCGCTGATATGTCGAATATTGCGCATTTCGTCAATAAATTAAGAAATATTTCCACAGCACGATAGCAAAATATGCTAATGTGACGATAAATCACAGATATAATTACAGAAAAAAACTGTTTTTTTATTTTCTGACCTCTAGAATAGCATAAAATTGGTCAAATTGTGTGAATCATTTTGTGTGTAACGCGACGATAATAAAATCAAGTGGGGCATGTTTCGTGTGCCGTTCGCAGAGGTTTGACATGCAAAATAACTTTTGGTTCCCCGGCTGCCGGAAATATTACGGCGTGTGTGCCATACGCGTGGACCCCGAGCGGCGCAAACATAATATTGAGATGATGCTTTTACCACCCACCAAATACACAACGATATAGGGATGCGCCTCGGGGCCGCGTACGTGGTGTCGGGATTTCTGGCCCATATTCGCATATCCGAAACAATACATTTAAAATTCCGCCGTCGGCGCACAAGCAACAAAAGTTTAATATTGGTTTAACACATTTTCATAATGTCTTCAGAAGCTGCGGATTTTCGTGGTGGAAATACATTTTTTTTTTATCAAAGTTTACCATCGTAGGAAAAATATCAAAAAGTTAATAATAAATATCCGGATGATTAATTGTTTTATAAATCGCTTTTTTGCGCACACCTGTCTTCAGAATCTGCGCTTCTTTCATCATGTTGCTTTTGTTATTGCTTTCTTTTGTTTTTTTGCGCACCGTGCAATAATAACAAACATGAAAAAAGAAAAGCGTTTTTCTCAGCTGGCGGATAGGCGCACGGCTGCTGGAAAATCGTTTAAAGAATGACAGACGGCAAGCCGAAAACGATTGGAATCCACGTGATTGCACCCGGGCGCTGAAGGGGCGCCTAGGTGAAACAATTTTAATCACTCCGCGCCTTCGCATCCTTCGTTACGCCCAGTCGCTCCTCACCGTGCCAATCGAGATTCCCGGTCAAAGTAAACATTCCAAGTATTTAATCTAAGACGAAAATCTTACGCTTCGACGATCGCCGAATTTGCCAGAACAATAATAATTACAATATATTTTTTTATCAAAAAAAAAATTAAATTACCATGAGTCAAATAAAAAAAATTACAATTTTTCATTATTTTTTTTCGCACAGCACTCATCAGTAAATAATCCTAAGTAAAAGTGCAGCTTAATTATACTCGCCAGAATTATAAATGAGCGTGTCCGACGCGTTTTGCTTGCTGGATGAAAAAATGATTCAATTAAAATATGAACCCTTTGGAGGAGAAACGCTGCTGCTTTGTGAATCGCTTATGCATTGCTGCACTCAGAGGATTTTCACATCGTCTCCGCTTCGAGAACTAATTATGATTTTTGAAATTTTTCCTCGACTGTATTAATCGCTATCATTTCGAAACGCCCGCCAGCAGCGCAACTAAACGCTATTCTCGAGACAGATGTCGGAAACCGAGCGTATCGTGTGTACACTAGAGTAAATTATCGAGCTTAATTAATCAATGTTGCTCTAGTCTGCATGCTCAACTATGCTAATTAATTAATTTTTAGCGTATCATATCGGTGCGCTAATTAACTCAAAATTTGAGATTATGTTGACTAGTAATTTACATTTATAATTACTGCACACGCTGCAAATATGACAATAATTAAAGGACTCTTTTTTACGTTTCGGAGAAATAATAATAAAAAGTGTTTTTGTTGCTGCGCTGCAAATTAGTACTTTAAAGCTTATGCAAACTATCATGTCCTGTCGTGATTAAAAATATAAATAAAACCCGTGTAAGAATAATTCGAGCATGCGTTTGTAGTATTACTGTGAGGCATTCCAGCGCGTATGGAAATCCCATCGCCAGGACACAGGATTTTATTAAAACGCGCTGGTTGCATGCGAGTCGCCGGTGCGTCGCTCGCAAAAAACTACTAGTGTGACCAATGTCTCTCGCGAGGATTAGCGCAATCTACATGCGAGTCGCCATTGTATATAATAAAACCGGAAGTAATTTCCGCCCTTTCCGTATAGCGCTCAAACAATGGCCGCGCTGCACATTGCAGTTTTTCGCAATTTTGCATTTTACACAGTGCAACAAAAACTTTTGCGAATTTCGCCCACGCATTGCCATTCTAATCACTATTATTCCGATACGCGTTTATCTTTGACAATACCAAACGTAATTATAACGATTTTTGACGCTGGAAAAATCAATACGTGTATAATAGGTGCAATGAGTAAATCTGACTCGGGACGGGTTTTTAGTGCGCGATGGGGTTGGAGTTGAAAAAAGGGTTCGTAAAATAGACTTAGACGGACAGCGCCAGCGACGTTCGGAAACGGACCCAAGGGATAATTTATATCGCCGACGATTATTTATAGCGGGATGGACAATAGCACGAGGAATACTATTTAGAGAGGCGGTGGCGGTGGTCGCGTAGTGCACGGTGTTCGATGGGACCTTTTTCTCGTATTTAATTTAGTGTCTCCAGGCTTTGTGTGCGCCCTATGACGTCGCCGGCGCTCAAATTCGCCCCTTACGAGATGAACACAAAACAACAACAAAAGCGCGCTTGGGAAATACTTCGGCTAACATCATTTTTATCCTTTGTTCAATTCTTCGCTGGTCGGTGTTTTTGTCTGCGCGGCGAGACGCATTAAAACATTAATAAGGATGCTAATGTTTAAAATTCGGACCATTTTTTACTGCCGCAGCTTCAGTCTCTCCTTTGTAACGTCGAGATAATTAATAATATTCTTAAGGGAAGAATAATTTCGTGCATTTCATATTCGTGTATATCTAGAATACTAATTATTATATTTTCGCGAACAGATAATTATGTCGTTTGCCAAAAATTTAATCTAAAACTCTCCCAGCACCTGCATAGTAATTATATTTAAATATTCAAGAAAATGTTTGTAAAAGTTTTGATTTTATTGAAAGGTTTCGAACAAAACACTCATCGAAGTAAAAGTTTTGCTACACTTTCAACAACAAATCAACATTTCATCCGAACTAAAACTAAAACTTCAAAAACAATTTTCCTAATGGTGTAGCTGTCATATTTGGCCCAGAAACCGCGCAAGGCGTCCGTATCCAACCGCAATTTACCTATCATCTGACCGACGATCGATTTTCAAACATAATCTAACGTAATTACCGCACAGTGTGGCAATTGCGAGCGACTCCTGACGATCGGCCTCGGCCCCATAATACAATTACCTCAAACTAATTAAAATATAATCACAGCACACAGCAACAGCGGCATCTACACACACAAGTGAAAAGTCAATCTTTGCATATCCTAACAAGTTTACAAAAGTTACTAAAGAATGCAGCGCGACGCAAAATCAATAAAGAAATGCATCAGCAAATCACAACACAACAACACACCGAGAGGAAAACAAGCGCTCCGCGTGTGCCTATCAAACCGACGCCAACGAATGTAAATCCACGTTTTCAATATGAAAATATATATACTTATATTTCTTTTCATATATTTACGCGCGTACGAAGGCTGAAAGCCGAAGCGAATCCAATTTAACTTCGCAATACGGCCAAATACATAATATGCCCGGCGCCTCCACATCGCAAGCACACAATTGAAGAAAAGGCAAAAAGACGCCGGGCTAGTTACACCCCGCACGCAGAGGGCACGCACATAAATGTGGCACGCATTTAAGAGAGTGCTCCGGTGCGCTCGCAACGAGTTAAATTTTTTACGGCCGAAAAGGTGGTGGGGTGAAATTTTTATGAACTGGAAAAGCTTTGCTTTATGTTAAACCTTTAGGAAAATTTGAATAATTCATAAATTCCCGAGTAGGATATACTTATAGATTTTAGCATTATAAGCCCTCTCGCGAACGGGCGCGCGTCTGATCGAGGGGAAAGTCGATCTATTGGAAGGTTGCAAATGGTGGATGCGCCGAAAAACGCCCATTCATTTAATTCGAAAATATCGACGCGGTTTGCATAAGTACGTCGCTGATATATACATATATATTTAAAATCATTTTTTTCCGAGCGCGTTTCGGAGCGTTAAATGTTAATAACCTGCGAGCGCGAAAGAGCAGGTGAAACGAATTGCCTCTCGCGAGATTCAACTCAATATCTGCATAATTTCCCTCGACGTGAGCGCGCCCAGCCTTACATTTATCTCATTTTTTCTTATTTCATCACCGACAAAGTGCTACATAATTTATTCCTAACTTTATATATTCACGACTTAATTTTAACAGAATTACGATATACAATACTAGTGTGAATAGGCTGCTTCTAACCCCAAAACCAACCTAACCAAACTTTTACTCCTCCTAATAAACTTGATTTGCTTTCAGCCGAGAAACAAAAGAACACTAAGAGTAAAAGAGTAATTAGTCAAATGTACATTACATTGGTTTTTGTTGTTGGAACACCTTTTTGCTGCACTAAATTAATGACCGCTCTCCGGAAGGTGAAGATTAATTAAAATATTCAGCTGGCGTGTTTCACACCGAACCAATACTTTAGTGGCGCATGAATATTTAACAATAACATTCGAGAATAAAATGCAAATCGTCGCATTAAAAATTAATCGCAAAATTCTTCATCGGACGCTTCATTTAAATCAAATATTAATTTCAGCAACTAGAGAGCGCGGTAATCATTTTAATGTTAATAAAATAATTCCGATTCAAGATTCGAATTTACAATGAAAGCGGAATTACAAATGGGCCACAAATTAAAAATTAAACTGCTATTATAACCGGGAATATTTCTGAATCATTTACATCAAAATATGTAATTAGAATAAACGAATACGCTGGTAATATGATATCGATAGAATCAATAGCGGAGTTTATTTTGATTACCTGTGTAATCAATGCGATGCTGACCCGACAAATTCGGCTGGAGCACGTGTCGAAAACTTGTTCGCATTCGAGTGCGCAATTTTATGAAATTTTGTAATGATCCTGCCTACGTAACCGGAATCAAAACGAGTAAATTACAGCAAAGCAATCGTGATAAATAAATATCTCATGATTTTTGAACAAATGCGTAATCGGTGTGTTGTTACGCTAAAAGGCAGCAATTAATTTTGATGATAGTTGCATGCCCACTCGGACGTCAATCCATCGCGATGGGCGCAAATTCAGCGCAACAAATTACGCCGCACGGCGATTAATCTTTGAAGATTAATTAACAGATATTAAATATGAATTTGACATACTGTCACGTGAAGCGCAAATTTATCGACATATCATTTATTCATCAGGTGCACCGTAAATTTGCCTCTGGCATTAAACACATTCTAATTTCGTTTATGTTGAGTTCATTGATTAATAAAATGATGGCCTTGTTTCGGCAATAAATCGTGCTTAGTCCGAGCGCAGGAGTGCACAAAAACGTCATGCGCGTTATTCTCTATTATGCGCATAAAATTGGATTGCGTTGCAGGGCTAAGAGTCCGGAAATAAGAAATATTAGTTTTGGGATTTCGCAAAATGCGCGTATCGGATTCGGGCGACTCTGGACGCGACGCGTTAGTAAATTTATATTATACGCCCGCTGTTGTTTCGCATCCCTTGTGTGAGTTTCGCAGCCGCATTTCCGCCGGCGTTCTGCTGCCGCCACAAGGCGCGCGCGCCGCTTTTGCGCTGATTAACCTACAAGAATAGAAAGTAAAATTATTTGCCTGCAGCGCTGAAAAACGGGTTGGGCAAAACTTTCGCAAACAAGCAAACGAGGCGCGAAAACTCAGTTTTTATCGCCTTTAGGAGAATGCGCACAATTTCGCAATATCTTCAACGCGCATTTTTCACGCCAAAGAAATCGCAAGTTTATTGAAAAACTGAATGCGAAATGAAGTCGGGGGAATTCCGCCCGCTGAACGCACATCAAATTCTGAATATCGTTGATTATTAATCCCCGAACGGGCGCACGCGATGAATAGAATAAAAATCAAAGTAGTCTTTACATGCAGATAGCAAAGCGCTCTCTGCGCGCACACCAAAATACTAAATGGAAAAGCGGGGTTATTTTTTGGTTCGAGGGTTAAAAACTGAGTGCCCGTGTTGTTATCTTCACGAACCATTTAAGCCGGGCCAGGCAGAATTACGCTTTATGGCTTTACTTTTAGAAGCGTAAATCTAGCTCGTCGAATATGATTCGGCTCTCAGCAATGTGAAAAATCCACTATCAACTTTATTCATGCATGCACGACGGCCGAAAACGCGCATAAATAAACGCAGCACAAAAAAAAACAACACAACACACAAACACAACACGCAATAAAAACGCGTCGCGCTGGATGGATGGACGGACAGGCGAGGGGATTTGTTGCGCAACGGCAGTTAATAAAATTTATTGCGCTCAACTAAACGCCGTCCAACTGGGACGACCTTTGATCATCGTTCAACTTTGTCACTTGTATTTTTCGCTCCCCGAAATTATTTTATATCCTGATTAAATGTTAGCCCGCAGGGTTAACATTTATTATCTTTGCAAGAGCGCGGAAGCAATTTATCAAAAGTGCGATATTCAACGAGTTTACTTCCGTGAGCGGGCGCGCGCGCCGCGATGAGTTGTGTTGTTGTGGCGAACTCTGTTTTGTCATTTTTAAAATGAAGCGGGGACTCGTGCGCACTTCTGAGGGATGAACGGATGCTATTTGGAGTCGTTAGCGTAATTGAATCTTTGTCTTGGCTGCGCAGTTGGAGCGCGCGCAAACACGGTTACTCGGTTAACGCATCAGAATGCCAAAGCGGCAACTCGCAAACCCAAAGTGGAGTTTCTTCTTCCGGCAGGCATCATTCATTCGCTTGCTTCGGTTTCGGTTTCCATTACGTTAGTATTTGCAATTACTAATCACACTCAATTTCGTGATGAAGTGGATAGAATGCGAGTTAACTGGAGCGTATAAACACACTCACACACACACAGAGAAAAAAGTTTTTATTTCAAAAATTGTTTATCGCGCTCCGAAAATCGGTATTTTATCAGCATGACGCATATCTTTTAAAAATGTCAATTTTTTTCGCTCTTCTTGCAAACAAGTGAGCTCATCCAACGTCCCAGCAACCTGAGCCGGAGCTCATTCCATAAATACGTACGTTTGCTATTGATTTAACGTCAAAAGCAAAAATATCAAACGAAAAATATGCCATACACCTACTCGCACACACGACGTGCGTATTAACACCGAATAGGTTCATCGAATCCATGCGACCCAAGTAGAGAGAAAAAAAAAACAAAAAAAAACATATACACAGCAAAACTCGATCCGCACGTATCGGGATACACTCAAAACATGCGAAGTGCGCTCGCACGATATTATTATCCTCATTCCGGCTCCTCGACGTTTGCTTTTCTTCCTGATTTCCAGCGAATTTGCTCGCACGCTGCAAGATTCTAGCGCGTATGTAAATTGCAGCTAAAATTTCCGCATCGCGCGAATAAATCACATCAGATTCGCACAGATTTGCAAAGAATATGAATTTCCTAAGCGAAAACAATTTTTTAGCGCGTGACGCACCCGCTCTCCGTTCCGATATAATAAAAAGAAATTTATAAAGTCGGACCTCTGGCCGGTCGGGAGATGAAGCGACGCCGTACAACTGAGATCAGTTTTAGAAATAATAAATTCCGGCTACGTGACTTATTCCCCTCGGCGGTTTTTTTCGCGTTTTCCGCGTGCAGAACCATAAAGCATGATACACGTACGCAGTTCGCACGTTCCGGGAGGGGCGCTAAGTGAGAAATGAGTCTCGCGTCGACAAAATGTACATTTTTCAAATTTTTTCGAGAATCTTGCACGGACGCATATGTTAATATATTGCCGCAATAGGCGTCGTTTTATTACACCGCGTTGTTATAGCGTCGTGCGTGTAAGATGATGTAATTTGCGCAGCGAGGGGTTACCATAAGGGCTGTTTGAGCAAGATATACTAGCGTTATTGTAATATTTAAATAATTGTCTACCTTCAGCGTTGTTACGTCGTGTGGGCGCAAATAACATTTGAAAAATGAGAAAATTACAAAGAAAAAAACATAAACATAACAAATTTTACTGAATTATTTTTAAAATTACATTCGGTGACCTTCAGGTTTAATCCATGTGTGAAATTATGTAAAAGTCCTTCATGCCCACGCGATGCAAAAATGTTTTAGTATCTTAAGGTTAAGCCAGACGGAAATTTATTTATGACGTTTTATGGAAATACCTGCGTCAAGCAATAAAACGCCTGAGCTCATGGTCCAGCTCACCTTTTGTGCGAGTTTCCTTCACGCAGATTACAGCTAATCGTTTCGAATTTTTCCACGCCCCCATGCACCTCAATTGAGTGCGGGGCCCGCGCGGAATGCTTTCAACAACGCCCGCGATGTAGTTGTAACAATAGCGTAGTTGAATCAGGCGCTTATGCACTCGCGAGCAGCGAGAGAAACGCGAACCGCAAGAATTGTGTACGGCTCGTATAATATTTCCATGCGCTGGAGACGTACGAAGATGAAATGGGTTCCGTCTCTAGGGTCCCCTGCGAGCGCGCATTTCGCGTGCGGAGGCGGCGGCGGCGGCAACGACGACATCAAATGGGGACACCTCACTTTACCATTACGACCGTCGCCGCTGCCGGCATCGCCTGAGCGCGCCCGCAGTGCAAAACAAAAAGTGCGATCGTGCGGAGTTTCAAATCCGCATGCAAAGCACATCAACAACACACAAAGCGTTGCGGCATACATTTATACAACGTGATTTCTTTTTTTAAATCATGGCAATAAAATATCTCCTGATTTCCACCAGGAAATATCGAGGGTGAATAAAAAAAAAAGTCACCGAAAATAAATTCCGTGTAAATAACAGCTAATTTTCACTGCGTGTGAAGCGGTTTTTTGCTCTTTGCACAAAAGAAATCGACAAATTTTCTATAGGATGGAGGGCTTAGCAACAAATAGTTCATTTCAAATATCTGGATTTCGCTATTTTGCTCGGATTGCAAGCCGGCGTTTTATATTTGCCATATTTGAGTTGAGAGCTGAAGGCGGGAATTGAAAAGAGTAAATTTTCTAGCTTCCTTCGAATAACCGCGACCCCGCTGCCGCGCCGCACTTTCATTCCGGCGGCGCTAGCGAAAGCAAATTCCTCGAGCGGCGATATATGAAATCGCGCAACCGTCCCACCAACGTATAAATAATATACGAATTATCAAAGCGAACGCTTTGCTACAGACCGAGCACTATCACAATTCGCAATATGCGCGCGCGCGGCAACAAAATTGCAACGAGAACTGCTCAAGTCGCCGAACAAAGCGGTTGCAGACAGAAAAACAAAGAGAATGGCATGAAAAAACAAAATTGCCGTTTTGTGAAACGGGCTATTATTATTAATTCCTCTAAAGGTCTATAAGAGTCTAAGGGAATTGCATATTGCACTTCATTTCAACGACTTCTTTAGTACTCTGCTTTGTTTTCCCCTCTAATAAAAGAATATTATCGGTAAATATTTTATGATTTCCGCCTTTTTTTCGTATTTTCCTTGCGTGGAAACGTAGGACATAGTCACACCTCACCACCAGCATCTCAACGACCATTTTATACACTGAACAATCTACAAAATATTCAAATAAGTACCAGGAAGTAGAATTTGTTGAATATACGATTGACACGCACATTAAATGTCATTCTTTGAAGTTAATAATTAATTTCTTGGCGGATATAGTTTCCTATTGACCGGACGACATAAATATGTTGTTGAGAAGTTAATTTGAATATTTACAGCTGCGAAACAACTATAATTACCATTATCATTAATTCCCGGTACATAATCTCCGGCCGCACGAGTTCCTCGAGCGGGCGATAAATCACAATATGTGCATACAATATGCGCCCCTCATATAATGCATTTGCGTTCGTTTTACGTACTGAAAAGTGCCTTTCCTGGAACAAACGGCGAGCCGATGGCGCAACGTCGCGCATGTATTATGTATATATTGTAGCGCTTTTCCGGTGGTAAATTACTCTTGCGTGCTGGCATCCCATAGTCGAAATGTAACTGCAACTTTTCATTCCTTGCGTCCCATGTCGGACGGTCCGCTTTTTCAAACGCTCACACAGAGGGAAAACGTGATGATTCACTGAAAGAAAAGCACCTGGAGCGCATCTTCGACTGCGTGCGCCACTTTATAATCCATTAAAAGACGAGCAGCAGGCGAAAAACGATCACAAAATAATATATATGATGAAAGTAGAATAAAATAAGCGCAACAAAAGCCAGGTTCGTTTTTAAAATTGCGTCTTATGTCTGAATTACGCTCCTTCCGTGATGGTTGATATTTCCGTGGTAAGTTCTGAAATGAAGGCGGAATAAGGAGCGCGAGCGTCAAGTTATGCTCGAGGCGGGTGTATTTAGTAATAGAGACGTCTCGGTGGCGGGTCGTTGGAGCAAAGCTCTGCCCTCCCGATCCCTGATAAATTGGTGTGTGCCGCGAGTCCTCACGCTCATATTTATCCGAGCACGTAAAGTATTTCTTCGGCGGTGAGGCAGGCACACGCTGTTCCGTTTCGGCTGCGCGTGACTCGTTCGCATTTCCAGCGCGCCGCCCTCACCACCCGGCGGAATTGTTTCGCTTCTTATGCCAGACATTTTAACTGGAAGCCAGTATTTGTCACAGTGTAATTTGCGACCGTTTAATGCCTGCAGAAATTATCATCATTCATTCTAACTGGCGTGTTGCCGAAATCCGCTAACGATCTGAAAGTATATTTATAAAATAAAAACCTATTGCTGTTATATTTCCTCCCGTGCTGAATGTAGGTAAATTGTGTTCAAGTGGCCGTGACGATCTCGCAGCAAAGAATTCCAATGGTTTTCGGTGTTATTCCTCGCCCTTGTTGTAAATTCGCCAAGAAATTAATTTTTAACTTCAAAGAATGTTGACCAATGTGCGTAACAACACAAGAAACACAAATTTAATGATTACCTTCGTGAAAATTCGCTGGAATTTCAATTTTAGTCTGCAACAAAACACATGTTTAACCAATCGACACGTTCAGACTAAAATATACGTACCTGTTAGTCGAACATTTGATTGCTGATCACAAACACGACACAAGATAAACTAGACTTGTTTTGATAATATTATTTTTATCTGTACAACGAAATTTCACGTCGGTTTCGCTGCGCGCCCGCAGTGGAGTGAGTGGTTAGATTACGCGCGAAATACTTAGTCCTGTTCAATACCCGTAGCGCCCTCTATCGACATTCAAACAAACCTGTTTAAAAAGTACAAACTTGTGAAATTAATATTCTCGAAACATTCGCCAGATCGTCAATTTCATTGTTTACTCAACTGTGAAATGAAAGCATAAAAACTTTGCAATTTCCTGCAGATGCAAATTTCTTTGCTTAACTTCTGTTTGTCTGTTTCAGGCGAGCGAAAATGAAGCTGTTGCTGATTTTCGCAATCGCCGCGTGTTTCACGAACGCGCCGGCGATGCGGAACCGCGAAAATAAAGGCAAAAAGGACACGTCGCGCACGATCGCCTCCATCAATCTGTGCGTGAGCGAAGAACCGGACGCCCCGATCCACTGCTTCTGCGACGGTGGCGGCGGGCATGGCAACGTCACCAACGCCGAATGCTGGGTGTTCAACACGCAGCTGAACGCCGATTATCCCGGCTGGAGTTACTTCCTGCATCAACCGCGTTTGAAATCACTGCGCATTCTGGTCAAGCCACACGGCAACCTTACATTCATACCGACGAAGGCTCTGGGCTATCTGAAGGATCTACACAAGTTCGAGATGATCTATGCCAGCGTCGACGAGATCCGCACGAATACCTTCGCCAATTTGTCACAGCTGGCGCAGCTGAAGCTCAATCGCAACAAGATCGGTGCACTTGCCGAACAGGCGTTCGCGAATTTGCATAATCTGAAAGAGTTGTACCTCAACGAGAACGACGTGCAGGAGTTGCGCCGGGACGTGTTCGTCGATCTGCCAGGACTCCGGCAACTCGCCATCACGCAAAACCGGCTGAATGTGATCCAGGAAGGCACGTTCAAGTATCTTACCAAGCTGTTGGAGCTGGAGCTCGCGGCGAATTTCATCTCGGTGCTCACCAAGGATACCTTCCAAGGACTCGAGTATCTGCGCCGGCTGGACCTTAGCAACAATAAGATTAATATGCTCGGGGATTTGACTTTCTCTGAACTTTGGCTCTTGGAGGTGAGTAATTAGCAAACACGCCAAACTAAACGGAGCTTACCGTACACGTCCGTAATTTGCATCCTTAGACCTGTTGAGGTCAGCGAAGCATTATGAGCATTAAGTACTTGTAGTTTACGAAACTTTCCAAGCACTCTGGAGCGTAAAAATGTTTTCAGAAAAAAGTTCTCAACATCTTTTCAAGGTGCTTTTAGTTGGAGGACGTGTTATTTTTACGAAAGGTGTCAACTTAGCAGACAGAAAGCCGCGAGGTGATATGCTGTAAAAATGCGCTATCAATCATCCCGCAAAAACGATCTATCATTTCGCATTTCGTTTAATTGGAATTGTTCGAGGCACTTCGAAATTAAGTTAGCGGTCGGAAGATGAACAGATGAGCCTTGTCTGCAAAATTGCACGGAAAATAAAAGCGCGTGTTCATGACTTTAATCATTTTCAAGATAAATGAAACATATAAAAGCCCAACATGCGCGAGTTAATAACAAAAGTGCAAGTTTCAATCGAAAGCAAACACTTTGTATAACTGCATTATCACGTATTTAATTAAACAGCTATTGATTTACGATCGAGCGCACGGCAGTGTATCACCGAAAACTGATTAGTAAATATTAATTGAGTCACAAATCAATTATCAACCACGCGTTCGCAAGTTGGCAAACTCGGCAACAATAAACATGTTCTTTTGTTTCACGCGCCGCACTCTAAACTCTCAACAACTGCAAAACCGCCTTCTGGTATTTCGCGCTTCGCGCAAACCGAATTAAATCATTAAATTATATTTCCGCCCCTATTCGCGCGTGATATTTATGACGCTTCTATTGTTTTCGAAGCGCTTTGGGGCGCGCAAGCTTCACATTCCGGGTCGCGTTGTTCGACGCTGAGGAGCGCACAGCGCAATGTCATTCGATTCAATTTGTGTTTCAGGAGTTATTGTTGGAATCGAATCAAATCGAAATGATCACCGATAGGGCGTTTGCCGGCCTCACCAACCTTCGTCTGCTGAACATGCGCCACAATAAACTCACTTTACTATCGCCGATGCTCTTTGGCGGCGTTCCCGGCATCCACCACTTGGATTTACGATCGAACAACTTGGCAACGCTCACGGTTGAGAACGTGCGCCCCATCATGCACAATATGTACAACGTTAGCAGCAACTTTTACGTTGAGCGTAAGTATTTTTACACTATTTAAATATTAAATATATTATACTAACGTTGGAAAACAGTGTTTTTTACACCAGAGTGTGGAAAACTGTATTTTCTACACCAAAATGTGGAAAACTGTGTTTTTGCACCCGAGGGTTAAAACAGGGTTTTAAATATTTTTACAATATTTAAATATTAAATATATTACCTACTACCATTGGAAAACAGTGTTTTCTACACCAGAGTGTGGAAAACTGTGTTTTCTGCGCCAAAATGTGGAAAAATGTGTTTTCTGCACCCGAGGATTAAAAACAGTGTTTTCAAATATTTTTACAATATTTAAATATTAAATAAATGACCTACTACCATTGGAAAACTGTGTTTTCTACACTAGAGTGTGGAAAACTGTGTTTTCGACGCCAAAATGTGGAAAAATGTGTTTTCTGCTTTCTAGGGTTAAAAACAGGGTTTTCAAATAATTCTATAATTACTAGCTTTACCGCGGCTTCGCTCGCGAATATCTAAAATAATGAAGTTGCTTCCGTACGCGTCTGTAGTCACAGAAGAAGTAACAATGAAGTAGAATGGCGGGAAGTTTAAAATGGCTGAAAGTATAGTCTATGAAAGTATAGTGTACAGTCTCCATAGTGTAGTCAATTGGATTTGATGTTGACGTAGCTGTCGGTAATACAGTGTGATAATACAGTGTGATGGTACTATAGTACTTAGGTTTGAGCTTCATTGCTGGAATGCTAGATGGCGTTAAAGTAGTCAAATAGCCAGATGCAGAGGTATTATTGGCTAAAAATTTCTTTATTTTATTTAAAAAATAATTTTTTTATTAAATAAAAGTAGCCTATAACCATTCAGGGACCACTAAGAATATCTGTACAAATTTTCATGATGATCGGTTAAGTAGTTTTTGCGTGAAAGTGTAACAAACATCTGGACTATCGCATTTATAATATTAGTAGGGATTAAATATATTACTTACTACCATTGGTAAACTGTGTTTTCGATGCCAAAATGTGGAAAAATAAGTTTTCTGCATCCGAGGGGTAAAAACAGGGTTTTCAAATAATTTTACAATATTTAAATATTAAACATATTACCTACTACCATTGTAAAACTGTGTTTTCTACACCAAAATGTGGAAAACAGTGTTTTCTGCTTTCTACGGTTAAAAACAGTGTTTTTAAATGTTTTTATAATATCTAAATATTAAATAGATTACATACCAAGTTTAGAAAACAGTGTTTTTTACACTCAAGTGTGCAAATCGGTGTTTTCTACAATAAAATATGAAAAAACTTGTTTTCTACACCCGAATGCGGAAAACACTGCTTTCAAATGTGAGTTTAGAAAAATATCAAAAATTCTCCTGAAGTTTGATCAATAAAAATAATCAGTGGTGTAATGCGAAGGAAAAAACACCTCCCCACGTTAATGTAATGATCATAACCGAGTGTAACACACGCCAGAAAGTCCGGCGTCCACGACACAATGTAAACATTACGCAATTAACATGATTAGGTGAAATTTCATTATTATTAGCCCATTTGAAACGCCGAAACGCACTCGCAAACAAACACACGACCACGGCGCTCATTTCATTATTTAATTTGCTCGACGCGCACGTACGAGTGCTCCTAATGCGCGCCTGGATATGACAGGCGGCGGAGCACACATTGTACGCCATCTAAATGAAGCTAATTGTTGCGCCAATGGTGAATTATTACAATTAACGCTGATGGATGAGTCGCGTGCGCATTTTTCCTCCCCGGCTGAGACTCCGCGCCGAAAACAAATCGCAGCCGACAAGCTTGATTAAATAAATTTATGACTTCAATAAGCAAGCTCGGAATGAGCGAAGTTTAGAGCACTTTAAAGTTTAACGCTGGGTGGTTGTTTTTTTTTTCTCGCTCACTGTACGTCGAATAAATAAATAAATCGTAAAAGTGAATTGAAGCTGGGAAGTAGGTACTTGCGCGCTTTGGAGCCGGTCCAAATGCTGATGCTCTCAGATGGGGGCGGAATGGAACCGTTGGCATTGTACATCTACTAAATGTCGTCGTTGGAGATTATTATTTTGTCGTCCGCCAAGTCCGAGTGTGCTTTAAGTCCCTGCAATAAATCGTAAATATTTGAAAGCGTTTTTTAATGTGCGTTTATGTTACATGTCTGTATTAAGCGAGAAATGATTTATTTCATAAAATATTTCATTTTTCCAAAGTGTACAATTAATAATTTAGATAGAAAACATGCTTTTTGTCGCATTGTTTGCAATTTATCCCATTGAATTTGCATATGTAATGTACACCGCTCATTATGAAAATAAATATCACCCGTATCGAACAACGGATTCAAACGTTAAACGCGGAAAATATTTGCGCATTACAAGCCATCAACAAAATTACAGCCGCCGCAGCTGCACTGCGGGATGGGGGGAGAGGGAAAAGTGTGATGGTATGTATGGCCGCGGGGCGGAAAACGATTCGGATTTAAATTCGCGCATTTCGGTTAATGCAGCATCATGCAGCACGCTTCTAATTAATTACGTACTCGGCGCGTACTCGCGTAATGCGCTCCGCGGCGACTAATGGCGTCGCCGCCGCCGGATCATTGTTTCGTTATTTCGTTATATGCACTCACACGTGCAATGGATAGTAATTCCGAACAACAATGTTAATCCGCATTGTCTGAAACTAGCGAAATAAATTTATTATAGTCAAGATTAGCGCACATTGTGCGCGTTTCGGACCAAACCGACCGGAAAGACGAAGGAATGCTGATGCGTAATGAGACACTTACTTACTCTGATGGATTCTCACCGAGCGCACAGTGGATCAGAATGCAATTTAAGTTAAGCAAACTTTATATTGTCTTAATTATGTCAAGTATAAAAGTTAACAAAGTATTCAAGTAAAATTCCGAATTATTAACTCGTAAATAGTGAATAAATCAAGCGCGAAAAAAATGTTACGAGTATTAAATATTTGTTTCATAACTTATTAGGTCAACAACTATCACGTTTATAACATTTTTATCCGGGGCTTTCTGGCGACATAAAAAACTTTTACGGCCCGCGCGTCGTTATATATTTTATATGCCCTGTAAGTTGAAATTTATGCGTGTGTTTTAAAAAGACTAAAATAAGTTTTTCGAAATAAACTTAAAGCCCCTCTGCGCGGAACTTTTTTATGGACTCATAAACGGATATTCGCCGCCACTGGCACCGCCACCCTCGCTGCTGCCTGGCATTACACAACCTCTAAATAAATTCAAGTAAATATGCTTTGGCACTAAAAGGCCAGCCAGACGGGGCATCAGAGTTCGCCTAATAGAATTGGATTAATTATATACGCGCGGCGGGCTTGCCATGACATCCGAAAGGGTTATAAATCCTTATCAGTTAATCTGACGACGTGAAATTTTAATGTGCATCTACCTAGGCACACGCCCCGAGTTTATAACGTTGTAAAACGTCGAATGGAAGAAATGCGCAAATTGAATATTTACTCTTTAAATATCAATTATAACCGAAACAACAAACAAACCGCATGTTTGTACCTACTCGCGGTAAACACACACATACACCATGAGCAGCCAACTTGCGCGCAAAGTTATTGCGCAAACAAAACTTTGCGAAAACGCATTTACATTCGTTTAAATATTCTTCCATTACTTAATGTACTTTGTCGGGCGGGTTGTGTAGGAAAACTCTTTCACGCTCTTCCGCCCCGCGAAACGTGCTGAGATTAGAATAATAGCCGGCAGGAAGTGCAGGCGTAATGTTCGCAACAAACAACACACACCGCATCATTATATGATGTCGATACGAATGCGGCGGGCATTGTAACCACGTTATTAAAACTTTCCGGGTATAAATAGCTGGGAATCTTATCTGCGGAGATGCGAAATTTACATCTTTAACTGCGGCCGCGCGAGTGTTGCGGCAATTAACAGTCTTCGGATGGCTTTAGGTGGGCTTAAGCGATCCCTGAAAGTATTTAAATGCGGTGAAAGTTTTGTGTTTTCATGGAGGGAGCGATAATAAATATTTATCGTCAAGAGTTGAGCACATAAACGAGGTTTTTTCGTGATTTTATGTAAGCTTTAATCGGAAAAGGGTAAACGTTTATGTTTTTACTGCTTTAGAGCTGAAAAAAACTATTTTACAAACGGTTTCTGGATAAAAATTATATTAAATTGAAATTATAATTAGCTATCTTTGAGTAATCAGCAAAAAAATCAGAAAATTTGCTCGTAAAAAATTTTTTTCAATGATTTTAAGTAATTTTTGGTCAAAAAATGTAAAATTCTATGTTTTTATTGTTCTAGAGTTGAAAAAAACAACTTTACAAACCCCGGTTGGATAAAAATTCTATTAAATTAAAATTATAATTAGTTTTCGTTGACTGGTCAGTAAAAAATCATAAAATTATTCTTGTACAAATTTTTTTACGATTTTAAGTGATTTTTGATGAAAAAAAGAAAAAAAAGTTGTAGAGTTGAAAAAAAAACTACTTTACCAACTCCAGTTGGTTAAAAATAAAATAAAATTGCAATTAAAATTAGTTATATTTAATTAATCAGCAAAAAATTATAAAATTTTTCTTGTAAAAAGGTTTTTTTTCACGTTTTTAACTAATTTTAGATCAAAAAAGATAAAATTTTATGTTTTTAATGCTCTAAAGCAGAAATAACCACATTTCAAACCCCTGTTGACTAAAAATAAAATTAAATTGAAATTGTAATTAGTTATCCTTGCATAATCAGCAAATTATTATAAAATTATTCTCGCTGTTCGCAATTCACATCCAATTCTGAAAGCAATTTGATGTAAGGTGTTGTAAGTCACGCGCCCTTTCGAATCTGATATCACCACAATAGTGCGCCGGTTATAACGTGCCACAACACCGCTTGGAAAGCTTACGTTCGCTTTAAAATACAAAAATGAAAGAGAAAAAAAAAAAACTGTAGCTAAAGCCGAGTCACGACACATTTCCAGCGTAGCTCGGGA